CTTTACTTTTCTATAAGTAAAAGAAAAATTTTGACAATACAGAAACACCTTATATTTATAGTTTTACGTATGCATAACATCTATAAGAACATAAGTTCATATATTCATACTCGTATATAAGTACTAAGTAAAATTTGGAAAAAATTTACAAACTATTGCATCAATAAAACAAAAAATAGACAAAAAAAAATAAATTATACTTACTAAAAAGTTACATTTTTCAACTTATTTTTGGAACACACTAAGGGGTTATAACATATTTAAGGAAATATAACTTCAATTGAAATTGAATAGCTCAAATGAAACATATAAGTGGAATACACGGTAGTTATGTTTCATTAAAAACAAAAAAGAAGAAATCAGTTCTTAAAAAATTTTTCAGATATGAAGAGTACTCCAGCATTGCATAAATGTATTAAAAATACTTATACTTTTATTATATATATAAGAATATACAGTACATATAAGTATATATATCTGAATATTTATATATTGTACTTGTACAAAAAAATATAAAAAAAATAATAATACCTAATATATATATATATATATATATATATATATGGTTATATCAAATTAGAAACAAGCCATTAATGATAGGCATCTCAAAAATAGGGCAGACAACATAATGAAATAAACATTTTGAATATAAGTATATATATATACAAAAAAAAATATAGGACATTCAAATATTGTAACATTTAATTTACAACAAAATGAAATTTCACATATTTTTTGGTGGTAATTTTCTTTTTTTTTTTCTAAATTATTATAAAATCAGAATTAGAAGGCACTATTTTAAATATCTTAAGCATGTTGTTGCAACTACATTAATTAATATATATACGAGTATATATAGACATTCATACCATATGAATAACATAAGAATAAACTTTTGATTTTTTTCTGAATATTTAGTTCGTAGTTAAGCAAATTAAAAATTCCATGATTTTGAAATGAAAGAGTCAAATAGGTATATATATAAATACTTATATTGTATAAGTAAATATTGAAATTGAATAGCTGAAATGCAATACAAGTAAAAGTGAAATACGCGCTAGGAATGTTGCATGTCAAAAAACAGCCAACTCTTAAAAAGTTCTTGTTCTTGTCATCTTATAATAATACTCTATTTTTAATAGGGAGCTACAAAATCTAAAGAATATGTTGAATATGGAATCATATATTATAGTGACGTAATTAAATATAGGAATACAACCCGGCTGTCTTGGAATAGATCAAGGATTAGCAACCACTCTATACAACATAATGAACAAAACATCATTTTATTACAATATGCGACTTGGATTTGGGCATTATTTTTTCATGAAAATTATAATCAATGATTTTTACAGCGAAATGACTCTTTCAAATTGATTACAGCAAATTAATTTCAAATTTGCAACATCATTTTTGAGTTTTTCTCATAATTTTCTGAAATAACCATTAGATTTTTGTCTGCTATTGATATTTTTCCAAAACAATATTTTTTAATTTTTTTTCAATGTTACTAATCATAATTCCATAAAAATATTTAAACACTCTGGTTATTTTTATTAAATTAGAAAAATTTTCAATTTTATAGTATCATCGAGATTTATAATGTCAAAAAGAACTTTTATGACTTTCACGTGTATTTAAATACTAAAACATGACAAACGAACTTTTATCTCATTTTTAGAGTTCAATACTAAATGTTTGGTACTTATGCCAAAAACAAAATACAAAATCTTTTCTCCTAAGAAGAAGAAAAAAAAACTCTGTTCTTCTTATAAAACACAAATTATTTTAAATATCCTCATAAATATTGCCGCAGATAATAAATTGATAAAATAATTTATACTTAATATATGTATGTAAAAGTTTGATCAGGGTACCATTATTTATTAAGCGACAAAATTATCTAACTACCCCAGTAAATCAAAACTTTTTTATTTTAAAAAATTTAAGTATGTAAGTGTAAATATGGCACGTTATAGCAACGCAACAGTTATATAATAAGAATTTTTAGTTATCTGTTCAATATCAAAATAAATTTTTACAATGTACTACCGAAATAATCCAATAAAATGGAATGAAATCGAATTTAATGGAATATAATTGCTTCTCTTCTTAAGAAAACAAGTTTGTGCTTTTAAAAATTAACTAATTTATCTTTATAAAAAATTTTTACAGATTCTAAACTGTACAGTATGTTAATCATTTCGGCCGTTTCCCTGTAAGTATAATATATATCAAATGCGTGCAAATGACGTCAGTCATAAATTCTAACGCGTCATAAATTACAATAATTATATGTTTCCAATGCAATAAAGGATGTATAGGTGAGATTGAAATTTTAAATTTGTCGCTTTGTTAAAATAAATTTTAAAATGCCAATTAGCTAAAATTCAGATGATTATTCCATTTACAAAATAAATTAAATGGCGTGATGAACATGATCGTCAGATCTTTGACAGAGAAACATCCTTTACAATAATAAATTGACTCCTCTGGATCTTTAAAATGTTAACGAGCTAATTGCAAAAATTCTCAATATATTTTCAAAAGTTCTAAGTTATTATATTATAAAAAGGATTTTAAATTAGAACACAGCAGTTCGCATTGTTCTTAGAACAATTTGTATATTTAGCGATTTATGAAAAATTTATATTTCTATATACATACATAGAAATTATACGTATTAATGCTACATAGTTTTGACAAAATAATAATGTTTCGACACCAAAAAGTGGCAATTTTAATTTGATGTTATCGTCCCTGATTTTAAAAAATATATAAGTAAAACAAAATTATGTATAAATATTTTTGTGTCGAATCAACAAAGTGTTTGTTGAAAACAAAAACAAAAAAACAAATAAATATTTTATAGCCCATTACTTTATTAGCACAAAAACAAAACAAAAAAACCAAAACTATTAATCAATATCTTTCAAAATAAAATATCTTCTTTGTTGTGAATATAAAAATTTTTGGGGACGAGTCTTATAAATTTTAATTCAATTAGTGTTTCTATTAACTAGTAAACATATTATTAACTATATATGGATAAAGTTTTTACAGTATTTTACCTATAAAAATCTTATTCAAAAATTGTAAATATTTACCGATAGCTGTTATAAAAACAAATTATTTTTAGAAACATAATTGAATTTGGAAACGTTCCTTTAGATCAAAAACATTTTATTCGAAATAAATTTGGGGTGTTATGTATATTATGCTTAAAGTAACTGAGTTCTATTTGAATTTCAAATTCGTTTGAACTTGTTCTTTTCACGTTCGAATTCAAGACCTAGAGCTAAGTCAACTATCTAACATGATTTGTAACAAACCACGTAGATAATTGTATATATATACATATGAATTATGAAATAGATTTTGTGTACCCATAGAATTTCAATTACTTTTTTATCTAATAAATTTAAGTTTTTATCAGCTACTTTGTAATGAAGAAATGTTCAAACCAAGACTTGATACATAGTATGTACACATATGTAACTACATATTATAATATGAAAATTATGTGGTGACAGTTTGAAGTGAAATTTTTGGCTGGAATCTAGATGTGTTTGATTTTTTTTATATGAAACTAAACAACTAATATGAAAAGAAAATAAAACAATAAATGTTTGAAGTTTGATTAATATTATCAATTGATTTTAATCGGTAATTATAATTACATATGTGTTACAGCAAATATGTAGGTACCTACTTAAATACAGAAATCAGATGGCTCGTAGAATTATAAATAATAGTTTAACATACTTGCACTACAAAAATGATATCTGAATTGAACAAATATTAATGTAAGTATTAACCTTATACTATTTTTTCGTCAATTTTTATATCGTAAAGTCTATATTTTTCAGCAAATTAATGTATATGTATACTCTTTATGATAAGGACCATAAAAACTAACTTTGATTGATTACTTATGCTTATAATTTTAGTTTTATCCTACCTAGCTACCTAGTTTTGTAAGTCAAAAAAAATTCTCAAACACAAATTAAGTTAAAATACTTTTTGAATTAAAATTTTGTTTATACATTTTGATAAGGTCTATATGTATGTATTTTATTACTTAATTTATTATACTACTTAAATATGTAATAAATAAATTTACATTTAATTGAAAATCACCTTTTATTTCGACCCATAGGTACTTAATATTATAAAACCGTTTTCTTATTCCAATAAAAGGGCAGATATAAAACAAAAGGACAGATTTCATAAAAACAAACATTCAAAAAATTTTCAACCATCCTGTACCATCAACATTGTTTCTTTCTTTCTTTTTTTTTTTTTATTTGAACTCTGAATCAGAAGCATAGGAGAACATCAATTGTGCGCATGATTCTTTTAACTCTGATATTATTGTTAATCAATTATAGGAATTCCCTAAAGAATATTTTCTTAAAGAAACTATCTAAATTTTATCTAAAAATATTTGAATCCTTTCTCTTGTTTTATTTGATTGTTTTTATTTTTTGCTTATTTTTTTTTTGTTTTTATTCTTCTTTCCAATATCAAAAACTGATTTGCGAGGAGTAATGAAAAAAGTTTTCATTCTGTAATTTTTTTAAATTTTTAATGTTTATGTAAAAAAATTTATGCTCTTTTTTTTTTTTTTTGTTTATTCTCTTTTCTTTTTTTTTCAACAAAGTTTTGTGACTTTTACTTTTTTCTTTTGGAATTTTTTCTTACAAAAGCGATTTATTCTTAAATCAAAACTAAAAAAAAAAAATTGGAAAAAAATGCAATTCTCCATATTATTTATGTATGTACCTAGCTATTTACGTAGGTACCTTAATTTGTATACACTTTAATAAATATTTTAACATTCAAATATTGTTTAAATACAATGAAAAAGTACAAAAAAAAAAAAATGCTGAAAAAATCATTTGTAATTAAGAAGTTTATGAAATTAATTTGAAATTTTAACAAGAAGGTTATGTTTTTTTTTTAATGAATATTTTATTTTGCATTCACTTTCAACTTACCATTTCTACAAAGACTTTGCAAACTTAATTTTATTATCCATGTTCAATTGATCATTCTTTGATTTAAGAATCAAATTTATCTTGAAACTTAAAATTTTCACTTAAAATTTTCATTATTTTTATAAATTCTAAACCCATTTTTTTTACTTTTTTTTACACTTTTTAACATAAAATGACAAGAGGATGGAATTTTTTTTTATTATAGATAGGTACTTATATTTTAAATAAAACAAAAATTTAAATTTTTCAAATTGCTTGAAAAAAACATTTATCAAAATTGCAAGTTGAAACTTTTTTGAAACTTATAAATTTACATCACAATAATAATGATAATAGCAATAAACAATAAAATTTCATATAAAAAAATTCTATTGTAAAATTTTGTTCATCTTTTATACATAAATTAAAAATGCGCTCTTAATAAAATTAACAATTATTGTTTAAAATAAGATTTTTCAAATTTGTATTTGTTTTATTTTTTTAATAATAATTAAAATTTTTCGCAGAACAACTAAGTATTTTTTATTTTATTTTAAATTTTATTTGATTTTAAGCTAACATTTATATTCTGATTTCGGATAGATAGGTCACACGTTAATAAAGCTAAGAAATTTACTCAGTGTACTGAAATTTTTTTTTTTATTTACTGCTGAAGTCTTGAAATTTTCTTGTACCTACAATGTATATTGCTTTAAATTTTGAAATGAAACATTTTTTTATATGATTTTACGTTTTCTTTTTCTTTTTTTAAAAATTGGAGTATGCGCGAAACTCGTTTTTCAATTTAAGAAATTTTTTTTTTTTTTTTTTTTGGTTGAAAAAAAGTTGTAAAATTACATTTACTATTTAATTAATGAGAATTTATTTTTCATTTAATGAATTTTTTATTTATGTAATGTAATATTTTAATTATTTTTTCACATTTTATTTTTTTTTATGTAAAATTTAATTTATTGTAATTAATAAAAACAATATCTTTAAAATTTCCAACACTGTTAATTTATTTTCATTTTTTCCTTTTTTCTTGTTATTTTTTAATTTTTTTTTTTTTAGAAATTATTTCGATTGTGCATTTTGTATTTTTTACAAAGTTAAAAGAAACCGGTTTGTTTAGTTACTAAACGTCTGCAAATCTGATATTCTGTTGTTGGCCATCCGACTTTTTTGTAGCAGCAGCACCTAAAAAATTTATATGTACATTAAATGAAAACAAATCAATGATGGAACACTAAATAGACTAACAGTGTAGCAATAATATATGAAGCTATTTTAAATTTGTAATATAATAACTAATACGATCACATTAAATTCATTAATTTTTCCAAAAATCACTTTTTCACATTTTTTCTAGAAAAATGCAAAAATTTCAAAACAAATAATACCAAATACAATAATCGTTTATTTAAAAGAATTCTTGAAATTACATAACAGATACTAGTTAAATATAAAAATTATTTTTAATTATAGAAACTTATGTAAACACAAGTTATGTTAATTCAATTCTTCTCTGCATGATTAGACTTTTTTTTAACATGTAATAAGTTACTTCACGAGACTATATTAAATTTTAAACTCAGTTTTCTTTTTAACTCTGTGAACGTATTTTTTTTTTGCCAAATATTATTATTTAATTTTTTAATAAACTTTAATAATATTAAAATGTACCTTGACATTGTCAAAAAATAACTCAGTTATTTTTTAAACAAGGTTTTTTAAAACTAGTACTGAAGCTTATTATTATTTAGTAAAACTGTACTAAGTTACTTTTTAATTTTTGTCTCGTAGTGAAACCTATACTAATTTTTAAATTGATATTTATATATTTATATGAGCATATGATTCCAATTTTTAATCGAGAAATCGAAACTCGATATTTTAGTTATTTAAAATCCACAAGATAGTTTTGCCCCGTTTTGTACTATTCGACATTTGATGTGTCAATAAAAAAAATCAGATTCATTTTTGTTTAAACTATTCAATAACATGAATGAATAATAATTTTTAGAATCTCAAACTGTGACAATATGACAAAAAACATAGTCATATTTATTAAAATTACAAACAAAAAAATAAATTTTCAAAAATTTCACTTAAAATTTTGATACCGCAATGAAAATTGAATGACTGAGAAGTGTACTGAGAGTGTACGCAATTATTTTTTACAGTAAAAATGATTCTTGATTCTCTAAAACATTTAAGAGATAATAAAGTGAAGTCATAAAAAATTCACCTGATTTTCAATTTTATTCACTCCTTCGCCGAATTTGAGTTAAGTTCAATATTCAATATCGAAATTGACATTATCTTCAATTTTACCTCAAAATTCAAGAAGCATTAAATTCGTATTATTATCAAATGAAGAAGAATAAGCAATACGTAAAATTTTTAAATGTCTTGCTTTTTGTTTTTTTTAAATTGAAGAAGAAATTGAGTAATTAATACAACTAGTAAAAAGTAAGCCAGAATCATTTTAGATTGATTTGATTAATTTACTGTCGTTGTTGCTACCAATGTAAACTGAATTGCGACAATGACATTTCTTTGACATCTCGTGCAGCGCTAAATTTAACGATATGAAATCATTCCTGTGCGCTAGCAATTCATTTGCGCAGCTGTTTACTAATAAAAATAATAATCTTTTTTTGTCATATTTTTCAGTGATTGCGCAACGATATTTTTCAATGAATATTGTTATTCAGGCTACCAAATTAATCATAAGCTGCCAGAATTCAATAGAAAACGAATAACAAAATTACCGTCGCGTATTTCAACGCCGGCCTTGAAATCGGCTAATTTCTTTTTTTACCGCGGATGGCTTTTTTTCACATTATCTGTTTCCATATATATGTAACATTATACAGGATCATATAAGCAGGTCATAGTAGGAGGAAAATGTATGAGATCGGCGTTTTTCGAAGGTTTTTCAAACACATTTAACACGTTTTACAGACAAAACTATGAGTGATAGAGGAAAATATTATATGGATTAACTTCTAGCGCAAACAATTTTGAGTTTCAAAAAAAAAAAATAAAAAAAAAACAGACTCTGATGAGCTTTATCTAGAAAGCTATGGCTCAAAGCAAACTGAGCATATTTAAGACCGAAAATAAGGAGCAATCAATCGACTGTCAAACCAGCCCCCGATGCTAACTTTATGTCGCATCGTTTTGAAGTTACAAGCATTTATTTATATGCAAAAAAAAATATAACTTTTTTTTCATCAAACTGTATCTCGAAAACAAGTATATATGCACCTCCCCCTAACCATATATTTTTTTTTGCTGGCAATTGATTAAAGAATCATCCCTGAAATTATTTGTCACATTTTGCGAAATGCCTGATACATATCGGGCGAGAACATTCCCGCCTCTTTCTGGGTTCACAATAGAAATCATCCGCCGCAGCCGCTTAACGCTTTGATTTTTTTTTCACAGTTAAAAAAATTAACAGAAGACGGAAGGTTTTTTTTAAATCAATTTTTTAATGTTTTTATAACACAAAACTATAAGAATGTTAGAACTAGGAAAATATAAAGAGATTGTATTTTAACTTTTTCTAAACAGAAATTTGAAAAAAGTTAATCTTGTGGGATAAATTTATAAAGGTAAAAATGCCTCTCTATAGCTCCCATCAGAATACGTGTAAATTTGTCAGCTGTGAAGTTTTTTGGAAACTTTAAAACTTTTTAAATTTTTGGTATAACGTTTTGTAAAGTTAAATTTAGTGTTTTAAAAACTTTTAAAATCTTAAAGCTGTCGCTTGGTTATATCAGAAAATTTTATTTTTCAAAAAAAAAATTTTTTCATCATAAATTTTTCTTCAAAACTAAAAGTAAAATAAAATAAATAAAATTGATTCGCAAATAGTTTTTTTAAGTTTCACACGTTTATAATTCAAAATCAATGTTTTCGGTTTTTTGTATAACCAAAAAACACTTTTTTATTTTTTACTTATTATTTTAAAAATGACACTTATCACCTATAAAATTTTTAGAAGTTTTTTCAACTTTTCTGTCTGGTTTATTTTTTTTTATTTTGCGAGAAATTACGTCATTGTTTTTTCTTTTTAGAATTTTTCAAGTTTGATACCGGACTGACGTTGTCCGGAAATGTGTGCTTTGTAAAATTTTGCTACATAGAGCCTAACAAAGCTAAATGTTGCTGACTGCATCCCGCATTTTCATTTAATTTTTTTTTTACTTTCAATTCAAATCATAATTCCGTAGTTTTTTAAAAACATTTTGTTTTCTTTATAATTTTAATATTTTTCACTCGAAATTACATTATAAAAATATGTGATCTTTCTTTTCACTTGCTACGTAAAATAGCAAGATCCACGATTAGGCTCTATGATACAAGTTTCTTACTTTTTTCTTACTTATCGAGTAACATAGCGAGATAGAGGTTTAGCTCGAGAAACTCGTAGCAACAAATCAAATATGTTTGTATTTACTGCAAATACGAACCCTAGGATATTTTCCCATTGTCATAAAGTATATAGTTTTAGATAGTAGTTTGTAGTTTGTAAGTGATTGTAGTTTGTTTTTGAAAGTGATTAAATGATAAGCCCTAATCTTAAACACTTGAAAATTTAGTTTATCATTTCATAAAGAAAAATTTTAGTTTATATTATTTGAAAATTGAAATGAAAGAACATACAATATAATATACCCTATGTACATTCTATTTTCATACACGTTATACAGAAATTATAAATATAATTTTATATAATATAAGATTAATGATTAAATTTTGTATTTTTCTTATTTAATTCGACTTTTTGATAGATGTTATGTTCTTTTCCTTACTACTCTTTCTGTTACTTATTGAATCCAATATTTCATCTGGAAGTTTTGTAGTACGATCTTCACTAGAGCTTTCAGAGTTTAATAGTAGCTCTTTTCCATCAAAAATATCTTCAATCATTTCTCGAGAATGTTGCGAAGCTCCGTTGACGCCTCTAGAATTTCTAGCTGTCATGACCATAACCGTCGGATTCAAAGTCAACATATTTTCTTTTAAACAATTTTGCAACAAATTTATGAAAAATAAAAATGAGATTAGAGTTAATGCTGTTATTACAGAACTTTTACGTTTGCTTTTCAAATTTTTAGTTGTAGAAACAACTTCAACGTGTGAATGTTGATGACTTTCGGAATTACTTTTTGGATGACGTGGTCTAACATTATAATCATATTCGTAGTCAGTTGGATTATGATGAAAAACATGTCCTGGTGCAACATGCTGCTCTTCATGTCCACTTGCAGGGTCTCTATAATCATAATATTACCAATAAATAAATATTTATACATAATACGCACACATAATTAATTATGTTATAAATGTATTAGAAAACTTAAATTGGCTAAAAGTATTCGTTATTTACTTGTGTTGTATATACATACATACCTACATATATAAATGTAATATGTTATTTAATTTTCATTAATTTAAAATTAAGAATAAAAAATTGAATCAAGCTTAAAAAATATTTATATTGTATAACGGTTAAAAATTGCACTAAACTTCCAAATACTTATATTATTATAAAATTATAAAATATATATAAATATTTTATATTCATGTTACAAGTACCACTTTATTTTAATTTCTCAATTTCCATTGCAAATATTTTTTTTCTAGAAGGACTACATTCTTACCTGTAATGTGAGTTATAATGATTGTTTATTGATGAGCTTGCTATCATATCTTGTTGATAAGGATTTTGATTTGCATACAGGTTCGGAAATGGATAATTCCAAGAGTTTTGCATATTTGGCTGATACATTACCCTTAATCTTTGGCAATAATTACTTGAAAAGTTCAGTGTTTTATATATGTATGTGTATGTTTGTACACTATTGCTTTTGTGGTGTCTCGTTAAAAAAAAAGGTTTAATATTTTGTCAACGCTTTGAAATGTAATGTTATATTTATGAGGTTTATAAATAAACTAATAATTCATAAAATAAAAGAAAGTATGTAGACATAATTGCAGAAAGAAGTTGAAAAGAAATTTTAAGAAAAGTACTAGTATACATATATAGAATCTGAATCACATATGTATGTATACATATATCAAATATCAAAATTATTTAGCGCATGAAAGTGATTATGACTTTCGATTCACGCATCGTTGGAACTTATCTTAAATAAATCTATGACAAATAACGTACTTAGATTTAGTATAAAAACAATATCCATGTAAACGTACATTAACTACAAAAATTATTTTCAAAGAATTCATAATAGTTATTGTTATTGGAATCAAAGTTTAGAATGAAGGCTTTTAGCAAGAAAATTGACAACTTTCGACTTCTTAAAAAGATAAATAAACTGCATATTAATTTCATTATCATAAAATTTGATGAAATAACATAAAAAACAAGAGTATTTACGTTACGCTTTCATAATGGGAAGTTTTAATTATTTTTTATAAATTTATAGCAAAACGGAATTATTTCAAATTCAAGTTATTGAAGTTTACCTTCATAAAGTTTATTTTGATCAAAAATAGTTCAAAATCAATAAGTATTCTCAACATGTACATGCTATACAATTAATTTGATAATTTATATATTCAATGCAATTAATTGAAAGAAAATGCGAAATATTTTATGTAAATTTCATGCAAATTTTTTAAAAATAATTTTAGTAGTACGAATTCTTACTAATAAAATAACTTTAGAAAAATTTGAATTCTTATAAAAGATTTTTCCTGAACGAGATGAAATGATTCCGTTTCTGTATTTTGAAATATGAAATGTTAACTCATACATCTTTACTCTTTATGAACTTACCTTAACACAAATTTCTTCAGTTTTCTTCCATAGAAGTTTAATATTGCGCAAATTTAAAAACGTATCGATTACGTTATGTTATTCACCTAAAGTAAATAATACATATATGTATATTCAAAAGAGAAAATAAAAATTGGTTTTATACATTTTTTACTTTTTTGTTGATCGCTTGTTAACACTCCAGTTAAAAGCAAAAGCGTTTTGCAAACACAAATAAGCTTGTCTCATTTACCTTTTTATTTCATTTAATGAGGTCCATTAATAGGAAAAAAAACTTTTAGCTCTAAATTTTTTTTAATTTTATATAAAACTTCTGACATTACAGTTGTTCTAAATTATACTTCAATACGCTTAAACAAAATTATCTACTCGAAGTTTTCGTTGCATTATTGTATATCAATACAATTTGAAAGAATTTTTGTAAACTCGCTTGGAAGCAAAATTTTTATTCATAACTGAACTCGTTTATAAGAAAAACCGAATACGATAATGCATTTTTGATTTGGACATCACAACCTTAAGAAGGCTCAAATTTGATATTACTACTTACGTTAAAAAATTCTACTAATATGTTGCCTATACTAAAATGTTTGTGAAAATCTTAAGTTCAAAATATACTTGTTACACCAATTTTGATTTATCAATTTTGCTTTGCAGATTAAAATGAAAAATTCTTTTGATGTACGTATTAAGACTAAAATTTTTGTATTACACATTCAAAAATTTAAGTTTAAATATGTATAAACATGTATTGTAATATATTTATAAATTAATATTTTGTAAATTTCTTTTTTAATTAAGCGTCCTATGTTGTAATTACGGCTACAACAAAATCTTAGTATAAAATAGGTTTTCCATTTAAACATTAACAAAACTAAAAATTATACTTATAAGAAATGTAACTCTTCGACAAGTATCAAAGAGTTTTAAAAAACATTATTTAGTATTATAAAAACTTTCAGCTTTAATATTTAAAGAAGTAAGTTAAAAATCAATGGAATTTCGATAGAACTTTCTTATTTTACAGGATTATAAATTAAATAAAATTTACTTAAATGTGATTGAATTTCTATCTGTTTTAACATGTTTAATATTAGCTGTATCATTAATCAGGTATTTGTGTAATCATTAATCGGTCCACTGTTGAGTCATCACCAAGAGGTTCGTTACTATGCATTAAAATGTCACTTAGCTCCGAAGAATTTCCACTGTATATGCTAAATGGGAAAAATGAATTTACAATAGGCAAACCCAAACCAGATTCGTCATCTGCAACAGCACTTTTTTTATTGTTTGAACCTTCGGAATTATCAATTGAATCATCCTTTTCAATCTCATTTGTATTGAGGGCTTCATTTTCGTTTTTTTGAAAAATTTCTTCATTTGTCGCAATATGGGTCTTATTTTTACGGGACAAAAAATTTTTACAGCTGGGAAGATCATTAAATTCTCCTGTTTCTAACGCACGTTGCAATTTAGATATATTAGTCGCAATTAATCGATGAAGCAAATCAATTTGGGGATAGCCACCATGCTCGATTTCAACTATAGGAATCCAACGATAGTAGCACTGTTGCCATATTTGTAAATCAGACACTCCAAACAACGGCTCTAAATATCTGTTATTTGGAATTGTTGATCGATTAATATTGTGTATATCACGGGTAATATTATTTCCATTGTTTGTAAAAACAACTAGCATAGCATTTCTCGGAATAGGATTTTTGTTTGCGAACGGTTTTTTGGAATACAGGGGATTGTAAAAAAATGTTTTATCCTTTTCATCGAATTGTTCATCCCAATCCCAAATTGGTCGAAGAATTAACTTTTTTTCCTAAAATTAAGAGCAAAATCAAATTTTGTGCAAACAAGACTAAGAGATACCTTACCACAACCATTGATTGACGATCGTATTCACAATTAAATTGGAATGTATCAAAAATAGGCATAAAAGCAGAATCCCAAATTGTAGTTAAATATGTTTGACTAAACTCGAATTCTTCTGGGAACTGTTGTACTAGTTGCCATATACAATCTAAAAACAAAAGTAATAATGGACTTTCCTCATCTGCTGTAGTACTACTGCTGCTAATCAAATTGTTAACTATTAAATTATTGCTAACATTACTACTCGTACTAGCCGTATTTTCTTGTTTCCAAGTATGTCCTAAGCGATCTGAAAAGGGATGTTCTAAAGCAACCCATTCCTTCTGTATTAACGATTGAAACCCGTTCAGTGTTCGGAAATACGGGTCCAAAAGAATTTGAATGATACTTGATATAACACAACACATTTCTCTTCCATTACTTTCTTGCAATACAACTGTTGTTCCTGCTCGGAGGATTTCTGACATTTTTAAGGAAAATTCTAAGCAAGCTGAAACACATTTTAACCATCCTGATTTATCTATTAAACTGTAATACTTGGAGTCCTGCAATAAGAATTCTCTAAAATTTTCTGGTACGCATAGTTCCCTAAGCTTTAAGTAACTTTGACGAACATCATAATTAGTTGGGAGTAATTGTTCTGAAAGGTTTTTGAATTCCAAAGATTTCCTTTCAGGATCGCAATTTCTAACTTTCTCTAAAGTTACATTTTCTATTGTGCGTCCTTCTCTATACGATTTCAGTTCTCCCATCCTTACTAACGAGGCACCTGTTGGGCCATAACTATATACCCAAAAAGCACTTCTGGAATCACAAAATGAACTTGCAGAAATAAAAAACTCCTTTTCGTTGAAACATTTTGGAATTACACAGAACTTTGGAAGAGTATAAGATTTGTTTATAATTTGCGAGGTTCTCGACGAGACTTTCATTGATGTAGGTTCAAGGCATTCTGAAGAGACAACCTTCCATTCGGATGCTCCACAACGTTTCAGTTCAGATATCCAATCATTCTTCGTATTAAACATTGACACATCCGATTTGAAAGGACTGCAATATATGTCACTGCAATATTTCAAATTATAATATAAATAAAACTTTGTACTTTATATATTAAGAAACAATTTTAAAAGTAGTTTTTTGCAATAGTAAATATTTTCCATGTTTCGCAGTTAGGATTTTATTACTTGCGAATCTCAAAATGCAAACGTATAATTAAAAGTTTAATTTTTCATTGCACGTCAATGGAAAATTAAATTAAAATATATTTTATGCTGTTTAACTTACTTGTAATAAAATGCAAATGATAAATCATGTCTCGATGGAAATGCAAATCTTGCTAGCGCAGATGCAATAAGGGTTCCCTGATCTTTGGTTTTAAAGCTGAACTTGAGAAAACGAAAATTCTGAAATGAAATTACATTATTTTTCTCAATCGAATTTCAAAATATGTATCTACAAAAAAAAATTCGTAATTTTAATAAATTTCAATTTGGCACATTATTAGTACTTATCCAAATTACGTCTTCAATTTAGAAGTGTAAAGTAACATAATAATAAAATAATTAACTAGATACCTACTTAACGCTTACATTTGCATGATCTTTAACATACCTTACAAATAACATATATAGCATCAATTTTGGAATTGACTTTTTGTTGGGGCAATATTTTCTTTTTCTTCTTATCAACAATTTGGTAGATTACATCTATGTTACTTAATGTAACATCGTTTCGACGTAAAAATCGATTGTATTGATAGGAAATTTGCTCCTGTATTATTATGATATTTATAATACAATAGATTATCAAAATATTTATGTTTATATTGTTTCATATATTTATAAAAGTAGATTTTCTCAAAAATATACTTACATCTACTACATCATATGGAATAAATGATAATTTGAAATTGGTCACAAATAATTTTCCTGGTATTCCACCTTGTTCTTCTGTAATTTTTGCAGTTGGTGGAAACATAAACGCATCTGCCGATACTGTACCAATTTCCCCTAAAATTAAATTCATTATAAATTTCATATCATTGATATTTTTCCTTCTTTATTATTACCAGGTAAAAGCTTTGGATCAAAAATAAGAGCACTTTGTTCTACATTAACAGACTAAAATAATATTAATTAAACAATGTAATTTAAAATAGGTACAAATCTTAGTGGGTTTTTCACCTTTGTGCAATTTACATAACTAGTAAACGTAAACTTTTGTTGATTACTGCTTAACATACTAAACAAATTTAAATTGTTCATTTAATTTTCGAAGAAATTTAACTAAATGTAGGTAGGTAATATGTATGTATTTATTTATAAACTTTCAATTGCAAAATTCAATAAAGGAAAACTAATTCAAGTTAATATCTGGCATAGCTAAAATTTTTGCAACAGCAGCAAACTTTTGCAAAATTATTAGAAACTAATGCCTTTATTTGGATTTATTAAGCAAATTTTATCTACTATTCTAAGAAACTTTTTACAATTTCAATACGATTTGTTTTATGTTTTTGCTGTAAAATCTATTATAAGCAAGAATAATTTTTACAATACAGCCAAATTTAAAAATTTTCCCAAAACTATGTTAATTTATTTTCTAAACCCTTATACGCTTCTAAAAAATTTTTGAAAATTTTGCAACGAATAGTAGGATCATAATTTATTATCAATTACTAAATTTTTATTTTCTTTAAAATTCTTTTTCACTACTGACAGTTCATTTTGAGACATGCAACAGGACACCTATGAATATTAATTTGCAATATTCAACAACATGATAATATTAAACCGAAGTCACACTTCTGTATTACTGTCATTTCTTACCAAAATGTCATCTATACGTGAAGCAGTCTAATAAATTAAATCAACAAATTAGTTAATAATATTAATAAATAATTTAAAAATTAATTTAAAATAAACAATTATTTAGTTATTCTTTAAAAATACATATAAATTCTGTTACAAGAATGCTTTAAATTTTCATTTTCTCAAATACACGAAAACCTTCTTTGATCGAATTTCAAATGTCAAAATGAAGATTTCCTCTTTTTTGATAATTATTATTTACTTTCCATTTACCCAGCATTTACACATCCAAGTTACTTGCAAGCAAGTTTGTATAATATTAATTGTCAATTAGTTTTTCGAAATGTCAAATTACTTGCTATTATGACGTAGGCGTTTAGCAAGTTAATTTTTGAAAATGTCTTTGAGAAGAAAACAACTAGCAATAATAATTGTTTATAAATTTTAGAAACCATAAGTTTGCTAAGTTTAATTTTTTCAAAACAAAATTCAAAAATTTTAAATTAAAAAAAAAAAAAAATCAAAACAACAAATTTTTTTTTGTGAATTTCTGAATATGTCAAATTACTTGCTCAAATTACTGGCAGCAAAATTTTCTTGCAAGTTGAACTGCAAGTAAACAAGCAAGTAGAAATATTTCAATGTGTTAGTAAAATTTTTGTATGTATTGCAACTTTCTTGCAAGTAACTTGTACGTGTAAATGCTGGGTTACGTAGGCCTTTTAGGCAGTGTTTATACTTAAAAAAAATTTTACAATCCTTTTCATTAAAAAATCATGAAAAAAAAAATAAAAAAAAATAAAATATCTTTCAAAACTATCACTATTTATTCGCCTTTTAACATGATAACATTGTTAATATTTACCGACAATTATGATAAAAATATACTTATGTTGGAAATAAGTGGATATCTTATGTGTTAACAAGGTATATTTTCTGATAATAAAATTTAAGAAATTCTGATAAACTGGTAATTTACCAGTTTATCAGAATTTCTGATTCTGGTAATTTATCTAAACAAATCTTTATAAGAAATAAATCAGTTAAAATTTTAAAGAAGAATTAGCCTAGTTTTCGACTAACTTGATTAAAAAGAGTTGAGTTATTCTTTGACAACGTCGAAGTATTTGGTGAAAAAAATTGCTTTTTATTATTTTTTAATAAAATAACTGAGTTAAAACTTAATGCGATTTCCTACTTTTAATTTGAACATTTTAAATTTGAACAGAAATTGAAAAAAAAAAATATTTTAGTAATTATTGGTTTCTTCAATTTGTTGAATTTCAATTTTTTCGACTAATACATTTCATGCGAAAATAGCTCTTCTTTTCTTTAAGAATCTTCTTTAATCGTTTGGAAACCTCACCCTTAATATACGTAATTTTTCTAAAGCTCGTGCAAAATAAATGTACATACATATATGTATAACCTTAATGGTGAAGTATATGAGATGGTATCTGACCATTGGTGCAGTGGTTATGGCACCGGCCCTTTAACCGAAGGGTCTCGGGTTCAAACCCCGGTCAGGTCACTATAAAAATTATATTCAATATTATATAACTTAATATGCAATACTAATAAATATTATACAAGTAATTTTCAAATATTCATAATATTCGATACTAAAGACTAAGAAAAATAAACAGTAAATATTAATAACCTCAAATAATTAATATAAATAAAACTACGGCAGGCTAGTCACCTACCTAGTTAAACTCTATGACGCTATGAAACTAGTGCATGAGAAATCATGCACTAGCCCTATGCTCCTTCTAGGAGTGAAGAAGGAAAAAAAAAAAAAAAAAAATGTGAGATGGTAGCGTTTGTAGATAACGATTCCCTTTGTTTAATTTGAACAGCTTAATGTGTAATCGCACTATTATTGAATTTACAAATATGTAGTACAACTACTTATACTTATTTGCAGTTGAAATTTCCCATCTCTAACGGGGAATAAATAAAAATATATTTGTTATAGGAAATTATTAATTAAGAGGGCAGTAATTTTTATATTATTCTTTATTAAATGGTAAATTTGTTTTGTTCATCAAATTCCAAAATATAAAATATATTTTTTTTAAGGATTGTAGTAACACCTCTTGTCAAACAAAAAAGAAATGTGACGAATTACATTCTGCTAAACATGTCCAATATATAATAGACCATGGAAATAATCAGGAGGATTTTGAGTATTGCATGACTCAGTTTTTGAGAATGTCTGGCGTATACTGGGGTGTAACTGCTTTAGAACTTCTTAATGAAATTTCTAATTTAAATAAGGAATCTATTATAAAATTTATTAAAGAATGTCAAAGCAAAGACGGTGGAATATCTGCATCTAAAGGTCATGATCCCCATATCCTGTATACTCTGTCAGCAGTTCAAATTTTGTGCATTTATGATAGTTTAGACGAAATCGATGTTGATAGTATTGTAAAATATGTAGCGTCCCTTCAACAGCCTGATGGAAGCTTCTTCGGAGATAAATGGGGAGAAGTCGATACCCGTTTTTCGTTTTGTGCAGTTGCGATTTTAACTTTATTGGTAAAAATGAATGTTTGTCAATATATTGAAAACTAATACATTTTGTCATACAGAAACGATTACATTGCATTAATGTGCCTAAAGCTGTAGAATTTGTTTTATCTTGCTGCAATTCAGATGGCGGTTTTGGTTCAAAGCCAAATGCTGAGTCACATGCTGGATTAATTTATTGTTGTGTAGGGTTTTTATCTATTACTAAACAATTACACCGTTTAGATAGTGAAAAATTAGCTTGGTGGCTTTGTGAAAGGCAGTTAAGCAATGGGGGACTGAACGGACGCCCAGAAAAGTTGTCTGATGTTTGTTATTCATGGTGGGTTTTAGCATCATTATCAATTCTAGGAAGACTTCATTGGATAGATGGAGAGAAACTGAAAGAATTTATTCTTTCATGTCAGGTACTAAATTTATAAAACAAGTTTTTCTTAAAAATATTTTAGATATGGCTCTCATTTTTAAAAAATATTTAAAGGATAGTGAAGTCGGTGGATTTAGTGATAGAAGTGGAAATTTACCTGATGTTTTTCATACAATTTTTGGTTTGGGTGCGCTGTCATTATTAGGTCATCCAAATTTATCTAAAATAAATCCAACTTTCTGCATGCCGCAGTATGTTTTGGATCGTTTAAATATCAATCCACAAACAATATGCGCCTGAACAAAGAATAATCAAATTAATCCTTTTGCACAAATAAATTAACTATTTAATAAGTATTAAGTTTTGAAATTACTGCAAAAAAAGATTGAGATAGCTAAAATGTATTTTCTTCTTCAATTAAAATTATAAGATTTGGGGAAATAAACCTGTATGTATGTAAATACGTATGTGCATATCGACAATTACTGTTTATTTCTTTAAGATACTATATTACTATATTTATGTATAATTTATTGTTGAATTCAAATAAATTGCCGAACAAATTGCAAGCGATTTTTTTCTTTGTTTTCAACGGTTGAATATGTCTGTTTTTCCATACATAGTCCGCTATGGATTGCGTAAAATTCAGTTTGAGGTTACCGATCGAACAATAATGCAATATTTACTTAATTTTTTAATGCCTTGTTTATACACAAAGTTGGTAATTGATAAATAGTCAATTTAAATGGACGCTATGAAGATACTCTTGGTTAGCAGAAGTGAAATTGACTATTGAGTAACAAACAGTGTTTGTTATATTCTTTGGTACAATATCGGTTTTTCGCAGCGGCATTGCGGTAGTTTTGATCACGGCATACCGTATCCCGCTACCTTTGAGACTTAGCATTAAATTACCACAAATTATAAAAGTGCTGCCATAAGTTATGTTGAGATAAAAAACTAAATGAAGAAGACTATACAAAAGAAAAAGTTAATAAAAAAACGGATCTAATTTCTAACATATCTCACCAGCAATTTAAATAAATGCAAGTAATTTATTCAAAAATGCAAATGTTGTTTAAATATAAAATTTTTTTTAACTGTTAAAATAGATACATAAAATTTTTATCAAATTACAAAAATTTGTTTTAGGTAAGTATTATTAATTTTTTATAACATTTACTTAATATTCTATTTTCGGTATTACTTTTTTAAATTATGTTAATATTATAAAATATGTATAAATATTTAAAATATCTGTAGTAAAGACAAATATTTGCTTATTATGTATATAGTCAGCAAAACTTATCCAATTTAGATAATTATTTAATTTAAGGAAGCCTGCGTGCGAATTTTGAATAATTATTGTCTTCCCAATAAACCACAAATAAGAAAATTATTGCGATTATCACACCTGAAGTATATATATTTTTTCAAAGTTTTGCAGAAAATAATGACATTGAACTTTACACGTAAAACATAGTATTCCTGTAAACGACATGATATGATAAGAAGAGCAACAGGTATCTGTTGCAAAAAAGAATATTTTGAGTTTGTTTACAATTTATTAATAATAAAGGTGTTTATAAAAAAAAATTCATTGCATACATTTTTTTGTAATATTAAATTTAGAATACGTCAGTAACATAAAGATATTTCATTGTAACTGTTGTATGTACCCTCTACCGTTTTTTATCTGATTCATTCGTAGACGTTATTACATCTTAAACTTTCACTTGACCTAAATGAAAAAGAACATAAGTTAAATATGAGTTCTGGCAATAAATTTGGTTTTGAATCAATACAAAAGGAATCTACCCAAAAACTTAATAATAAATCAATTGTTATTGCTTATTTATTATGGTTATTTGGCGGAATTTTTGGTAAGCTCTAATTTAATATTAAATTGTTGGTTGTCATCTAATTAATTATTACATACAGGTGCTCACCATTTGTACTTACGAAGAGATCGCCACGCGTTTATTTGGTTGTGCACATTAGGTGGTTATTTTGGAATAGGGTGGATTTTTGAAATATTCAAAATTTCAAGTTATGTACGAGATGCAAACGAAGATAAAGCTTTTATTGAAAAATTTAGAATTAAATTGCGGAAATATCCAAGACCTCCATTTTCAACTATCCGCTTCTTAGGTGCTATAATGGTTGGCTATCTTTTTGGTGAATTAATAAAGCAAGCAATACCAGAAAACAATTTTTTGGAAATTGACTGGGGATTTTTGCATTGGTTGGTTCCATTTGGAATTGCTTTAGGTACTTTTAATTGCAAATTACATTTAGTTGAATTATATAATATATGTATGTATGAAAAATATTTTTAGGTGTTTGGACTGTGGGAAATATAGGACGTGAAAAAGGCTCATTTTGGCAATGTCTTTTAGCTGCTTACATTTCTTACCCAATTCGCTACTACATTTATGATGAATCCTGGTATATGATAATAGTGTTATTTTTTACAGCCTTAGTATTCGACTCTTGTTCAAAGCAGTGGCGCGTAGAGCCTAAAAAGAAGAGTGGTTGTTGCAAAAGATTTACATGTTTTTCTTTTTGCGTTACATTGTATCTTGCATTATGGTGTAGTTATTTTTATTTCAATGGAAAAGTTCTTGATTATGAAGGAGAAGAAATACCTGTACACGAAGCTGTTAAACATTTGTTATCCTCATCTATGTGGGCTGAATTCAAAGATACTCTTTTCGAAATTTATAATTACAGTCAACACCGAGGTTGGTACGAAGTGTTAAAAGAATTGTTTATTTTAATGGACGAAGATGGAATAAAAAATTCTTACAAGGTAAGAAATAGTATATACGTATGTAAATAAGTAAATGACGTGGAGGTTTTTTCGTTTTTACGTTTAATCGTGTATTTATATCATGAATACACGGACAACAATACCGCTTTTAAAAATCATCTTTAGGTTATACATATATATGCATAGCTAGTATTATGTTTTAATATTTTTTGAAGATAATTTTTCGAATAAACTATGTACATTACTCGTAGCTACCATTAACTTGTTAGCCGTTTTATTAAAAAAACTGTGTGTTTTGTTGATCATTCTGGCGAAAATTTTATTTTTTTTAATATGTACATACAAATTTATTTTTTCAGGTCCTTGATCTTAGTCCGACAGCATCACAAGTAGAAATAACAGCCGCTTGGCGGAAACTTTCTAAAGAATATCACCCTGATAAACAGAAAGATCCAGTTAAACGAAATGAAGCGCAAGAACGTTTTATGGAAATCCAACAAGCCTATGAAGTACTTAGTAAAAATAAAATGAAGAGAAAAAACCGCAACAAAAAATTTGATGACGATTTATAAATAATTATCAAATTTTTATAATAGTAAAGTAAGAATATATTGCAAGATTATGTAATTAGTTTTTAGAAATTTTTATACATATGTAGAAAAATTGTTTTATTTATTGATTCAAATAAATTTTGGAAACTTCGATCATTTTTATACCATAAGTTTAACGTAAAGTTAAAAATTATTTTGTTTTAAATTCACTTTTTGCAATACTAGGTATACCATTTTTATGCCAATACTTTATAATTAAGGTTTGACACAAAGGTCAGTTGAAGTCAAGCAATTCCTTATTTTCGGTCTTAATTGTATATAAGTTGTATAATCCTTATTTTACAAGTTTGTATAAAGGAAAAACTTGCTTTAATCTTTTATTAAAAAGAAGATTATGCAAATCCATAAAAGCGAAATCTTTAAATTTTAAATTGCAACACAGATTAAATACCACTCCAGAAAACTAAGACTTAATGAGTTTTAAATAAAATAAAATTTTAAATCTATCAAAAAAAAATATCTAATATCTTATTGATTAAAAATGTATTATTTATGTATATTATACAGAAAAAAAAATTTAACACATTAAAAATAAAATTTAAATTAAAGTTATAATATGAAATAAGAAACTTTATTTACAAAATAACACAAAATAAAAAAAAACTTAAAGACAAACTTAAAGCTGTGAATTGCTATTATAGCTTTAGTTTTGATAATTAACATTTTTTTCCAAAAACATATTATAAAATAATTGCAAAATTAATATATGTAAGCACAAAAGTAATGCATTAACTTAAAATATATTGAAATTGAAATTCTCTTATTTACAAAAACCAAAACATTAATTACAAAATGTAGTTTTTAAAGGTGTTTGCTTACTTAAAATTACAAAATATTTACAAAATCTAAAAGCCCTATGAAATTACTCCTATATGACAGAGTTAGACAAATCTTCATCAACTAATCCATAAAATTTCAAGTTATATTATTTCAAGTTGTTTATTTTTTGATTGAATTCTTTTGAAATTTAAGTTATGTGCATCTACATAATACTTAATTTTTTTTAAAGATTAATGCTTTTGGAGGTAAGAAAAAAATATAAACGTAAATTGAATTTGCATTACTTTTAGTATAACCTATTTAATCAATATATGGAGTTTATAAAATAATGAAAAATTCTTAAATACAAGATTTAAATTTTTCAACTTTTCCTTAGGTTGTAGCAGTAGTTTTTGGCGAATTGCATTTTTTATTATCTTAAGCAAGAATAAAATAAAGGAAATTTATTTTTCTAAATGTAATGATCTCATATAATAATTGTAAAAGTCAGAATTGTCTTTAAAATTGAAAATAGTTTTAAAAGTCAGAATTTTCTTTTAAATCGGTATTATTAAATATTAAAATATGTAGTATAATTTGATTAAAATAGTATGTAATTTGATCGAAAATTACTTTTGGACAATTAAGTACGTAAATTAGTGCACGATTGCAAAAAAAAAAAAAATATTAGCATGATCATAAAAAAATTAAAATGCGCTTCTTTAAATCATCAACAATATTAAAACTCTGATAGATGATATTATATAAAATTATTTTATAATTAAACTTAAAAAAAAATAAGCGCTTCTAAAAACATCATAAATTGTTACACTTAAATCTTAATTAAAAACCTAATTAATAGCAGATAACTCCTATTTTTTAGATAATAAAATAAATAAAAAATCAAATGTATATAATTCGCATGTAGTAGATTAGACTACTAATTTTTATTTAAATGAAACTGCTACTGGACGAATTAAATCTAACAAATATTTCAATTTAAGCTGCTGTTTAAATGTTTCAAGTTTAATTTTTACTTTAAATTTAAAAAAATATAACGATGTATTTTTATAATAATTACTTTTACAACTATTTTATTTCATTTTTTTAATGAACAAAATAATAGAAGACTTTACCAATAATATTAAAAAATTCTGTCCAGATTTAATAATTTTATTATTTCACTTCTTTCCCTAAAAAAATAATTTGAAAAGTTTTTATACATAACTTAAATGATTCATTGCTACAGAAATTATATTATGTACTAAAATTTTCGGTTTTTTGATGATCGCCTGATGTAGGAATATCGGATTGCATTTTAATTTTATGTGTCACTGGATCATAAAAACCGGCGTAATAATAAGTATCATTGTTATTGTATACTGAATATTTCTTTGGATCCACCCCAAACTTTTCAATGTAATCATTCAGCAATAGAACTTCACATTTATGGGAAATAGTTTGCACATCATTTTCATCTTCATGAGAAGATTCGAAAAGGCCACCCTGAAATTATGGTTGAATAAAATAAATAATGAGATTTTCAATAACAATGATATAAAAATTCTATGGCCAAAACAAATTGCATTAGGGCAAATTTAGAATGATATTTTGATACTACAAATGTATTTTAATTTCGGGCGACATGAAAATAATACTCACGGAATATTTAAGTTTCGCACATCCTACAGTTTCTTCCGGGTGATAAAACCATCTTACACGAACAACTTTATTATTTGTCGATGTTTCCCACATAGTTTGTATTTTTCCTATATAAGGTCGATCAGTATCAGTTGATAAAAATACCGCGCATTCTCCAATCTGAAATTAATATAAAAATTTGATTTTGGTTTATATTTTGTTAAATTATTATTGGTATAAGTTCAAACCGTTAATGTTTCATCTCCTCTTTGAATGGATTTGTAGAATTTCTTTTTAGTTCTACCCTTAGCTCCAGGCCTTCTAAAATAGTCACCTAACCATTGCCATAATTGTTTTTCAGGTAAAAATGCAGCAATTTTACTGTTACTCTTTTCAAATTTCCTTTCACTTTTAACCTCAGTTTCTTTATTACATTGCTTTTCATTCTTGGTTTCAATCTCCTAAAAAAAATTACTCTTGTTAAAAAATTTAACATTCAAATAATTACAATAATCAGTTACTTGTTTTATGACAACCTTTACATCATTATTTGAATTTTCATCGACATCTTTTAAGTTATCCTCTTGCAAGCTAAATTCGTCATTTGTCAAAATTTCATTATAGTTTAAGTTGGATTCACCATGTTTAACCTTTTTTTAATTAGAAACAAGAATTATCTTTTCTTAGTGATGCCATTGATAGTATTAATTTTTCTTAAATTACCTGTCTATTCAATGAAGTGCTTCTTTTGCGATGATGCTTTTTATGCTTTTTCTTCTTTTTCTGTTTTTTTGGCCAACAGCTTTCATCTGTACATTTCTGCTTATGTTTTTTACAGTGTTCATAATGAAAACCAATACATGAATCTTTCCGAATTTTATGATGTTTACATCGCTCAATAGCCAAATTATCAGTCTTCAGTTGTGGAACATTGTCATTTCTAATAAACACATCCTCAGTTTTTCTAGATTTTTTTTTTCCTAGCGACGTCAACGGATTAGTATTATATTCTAAAAATAATTATTCAATTTTTTAAAATGACTGTCTTTTATATAAATGCAAGGCCTATTTTACCCACTATTATTACAATTCCGTGATACTTGATAAGTACTACTATTAATAAGCGAAACTTAAATTTTATGTTAAATTTGACACTACAATAAAATTTTAAATGAAGTTAAAAATGAGAATTAATGTTTTAGCGAGTTAAAGCTGAATAGAAAACTGTACAGTAATAAAAGCGGTTCATGAAATGGTCAGTAGCAACTAGTTCACGAAATTTTCTTTATAACAAACGGTTGAATACAAAACGTGTAGTTTTTGAGTATTTTCAGAACCAATTTGTGTTTTCTGTATTAACCAATTAAAAATTGGAGGAATGTGTTAGTTTTATATCCACTTTTTAAATAACATCAATTAAGATAGTGACCATTAGTTGACGAATTATACATAATACTGCTATTTTATGTGTTAATCAAATTTAACAAACTTTGGTAACGTTTTGGTATCGATTAAGCAAATAAAAACAAACGAAGATATAGATTGGATATCAATATCTAAACGTATATTTGAAAGCCGAACTTTTAAGTTATATGATTAATATACTTGACTTAAGTTTGAGCATAGCATGTTCATAAATATTTAAAAGTTCATTTTATTCGCTTTACTTTAATAAAAATTAAAATTACTACTCAATTTTTAGAAGCAAGAATTTTAACATAATGGTATTGGAAGTGCTTTAACTTCATTTACGTGAGAGCAAATGCAAGAAAATGCTAGCTATTTAATTTTTATTTTCTGGATAATTATTAAGCTGCAAGAAATGTTGAAAACAATTTATTTTGTTGAGAAAAACCAAAAGAATAAAAACAAAAGGGAAAATTTAAAAAAAAGTAAATATGTTAGTATGTATTAATTTGTGTCAGAAATTTCACAAAATTAGCCAATTGTTAAACAAATGTCCTATTTCAAAATTACAATGTTATGTGTTAAAAAATATAGCACAAAAATGAAGGAGGCCAAATAATAATTAATAAATATAAGTTAATAACTACAATGAAAATTTTTTTTTTCACCTCAAATGTCCTAATAAGATGTTAGTGTTTTTTGAAAAATTCTGAGCTTTTTAAAAAGAACTTACCAGCAATAGGATAATCACTTAATAAAAATCGTATATCTTCTAATGATATTCTACCACTATCTCCGTCATCAAATTCAACACTGACAAAGACCCCATCTTTGCTTTCTTCATTCATTTCAACAGTTGTTCCTGGATATAAACATCTGTATTGTGGACTCCAATACGCACATATTCGAGTGCCTTGTGGCACCTCGTTAATAGAAGCAGGGGATATTTCTAAAATCTAAAAAAAAAAAAAATTACAATAAACTTTTACCAATCAATTCTTTTACATTAGTTTATGTAAATATTTTATATTTATATTTGAATTTATTTGTTGTTTAATGTTATATAAATAAAATTCAAAAAAATCTTACCACGTCTCTTAAAACTTCTTCTCTGCACATAATATGAGGTTTATTGCCCCTCTCCCCATCTAAAGTTACTGCATACACATCCGGTGGCTCTATAGGTTGCAAATATCCCGCGTAAAATAAACCACCCATTGCTGTTAGAACACGTACTTTTGGTTCTTTCAAGTGATTGTCAGATATTCTTAAATGACCGTCAATAATTTTTTTCTTTTCTTCCATGTGAATATATTTATGCTTCATGAGTTTGTGTTTTTGTATTTTTTTTGAATTAGAATGATTTTTCAAAAGTTTCCGTAAACGTCTATCTTTTAAAATTCCTTTCTTTTTATCCATATCAGCAAAATGCGTTTCATTAAAACTAGGTTTCTGCAATCGGAGAACAATTGGTCTCCCATTTGAAGATTCTTCCGTAAAGCTTGAATTATTATGATCTACAAGCATACTAGGGTTATTAAAATGAGCATTTGTTGAATGAGAAGCTAAATTATTTCCTAGCACACTGGGCAAAATGTTTACGGAAGTCGAAATGCACTTGTTTTCGCCATCAATATTGAATGACTTTTTATATGCATTCGAATCAGTAATTTTTTGTTTTAAAGAATCTTTTGGCAAAAATGTCGGAATTTCTGCTTGTAAAATATTGTGAGCTTGACGTTGTTTAGTGCCATTATTTAATATGGAAGGTAGTGATTTAAATTTAATAATTTCATTTTGACTATTTGATGGCGAAGGAGATCTAGATTTTATTTTGGCTGATATATTTTGATTTTGTATATTATTAGAAGAACTGAAATCATTATGATTTCCTACATCAGAGTTATTTTCTTGAAAGTTCGAAATTGGTTTCTTATCTAATTCTTTCTTTTTGCCTTCGCATTTTTGACTTATCGCAGCTAATTTTCGACGCATTTTCAACTCCATAGCTCTAAATATTTCGGCGGCTGTAGGCCATTTAACATCACGGTGGAAGCAATCAGACACTTCAGAAAATTTTTTATTCCTACATTCATCACAGTAATTACATTTTGATTTCACATGTTTAAGAACGTGTCGAATATCATCGCTGACGTTTTCCCCATTCTCATTTCTTCCTTTTAAATATTTTAATTTTCTTCCTCTACGAATTTTATTGCACCGAACAATTTTGCGTTTCTTTTGACGCATACGTTCTTTTTTACATGACTTAGAGATCTCGCGATCTGTATTATTACCTTCTTCTTGAATTCTCTGTTCAGCCAAGGCACACAAAAGGTTTAAACCGCCCAAAGTTGACTGACTAGATTCCAAATTTTCCAAGGATTCTTGAAGGTTGTTATTAGTTTCTTTTTCTTTTTGATTTTCGCAGTAATCATTTGTTTCTTCTTTTTTATCTTCTTTTTTTAAATGCATTACCTTACTTTCTATCGCTTCTATACTAATATTAGATAAGAGCTCAAGTCCACTCAAATCAATTGGGTTTAAAGACTCTTCTGCGGGCGCTATCGAATTACAGTTTTCCGAGCTGTCAGTTTTTGATGGTATTTTTTGTTCCTCTAAATTTTCAGGTGGAACGCATACCATGGAGTTATTTGCCATCCTGTTTTTATTGCAAACATTTTCGCAATCTTCTTCCATTTCACAATACTTTGGATTTTGATTCGGATTCGGTTCGCTTCTGAAGCATACATTGTTTGCTTTTATTGAATTTTCTAAAACAAAAAAAAAGAAAAGAATTGTAATAATAGAGGAAATTATTGTAACAAATATAAAGCTACCAGTTTCACTTTTTAAACTTTCCTCGTCTTCTTCCATCATATCATCTTCTTTATTCATGATTAAATTGTCAGTTTGTATATTTGCATCCTGTCTTTCAAGGACATATGGACAATGTTGACACTCAATGTTTTCGTTCCCTTTATAACAAAATAATTCATTATTTAGCCCCCCGGGCATATACTCACTTGAAGAAGAAATTTCTGTAGTGGAAATTTCATTTTTATTATTCTGACTAACAGAAGCTGTTAAAGCAGGAACAGGATCCATTGGATTGCACGTAAAAGGGTTTAATTGCGTGCTCTTATTTTGTTGCACTCTAGATAAAATTGTGTCTTTCAATTCTTGATTGAAATGTAAAGTAGTTTTAGCAGTTTTTTCACTAGAACATGTTTTAGAGTCTATATTTGACATGAATTCAGAGCTTTTACACTCAATTTTCATTTCATTTTTATCCTCAATTTTTATAGTTGTATTCTGTTGAAACTTTGGCCCAATAACTACTTTCCTTTTATTATCAGGAGTTGAAACAGCAACTAATCGTGTTTGAGTTTGGGTATGCTAATAAATATGTGTTATAAGTATATTAAATTTTCAAATATCAAGTATGCAATTTGTATTAAAGTGTTAAAGGAAAAATAAAACAAGTTATACCTGATGCAAAGTTGTGCTAGTTAAAAAGTCAGAACCCGTCAAATGTAAAGGAGCAAAGGGTGTAGGAAGAGTTTGTGGTATCGATGGAAATACTATATGCGGCATTTGAGTTGTTTGAGGTGGTTGTTGAAATGATGGCCAGACTATCGTTGGATGAAGAGTATCTAAATACAACAAAAAATTAAAAAAGAGAATCTATGATAACAAAGCATGATTCCATACCAATAGCAGCGGTGGATGGCGGTAAAAATAAAAGATGGCCGGTATTATGATCTCTCATCAATTGAACCCCTAAGGAAGGAAATGGCATAGCAAGTAAGGACTCATGAACTGCAACTAGAACGAAAATTTAATTTAAAATTTCGGAACCTTGGCTATTTTTACACCAAACAAAAATTATAAAAAATTATACTTACTAGGATATTGCCAAAAGGAGTTTGATGTTCTCAAATTATGCATACCGATTGCGGCGTGATTATGATTTTCATTGTTAAGAGCTATCACTGAATTTGTACCGTTTATCAATATTTCTTGATTAACAGCAAAAGGTGCATTTCGATTCTCTGAAATAAAGCATTTTAAAAGTTAAAAAAATTTCACAAAATTAGCTTTAAAAATTCAAGGCTTTATATTATAAGGTTATTGCAATTTTATTTTTTATATCTAGCAGAAGATTTGTTTTAATAAAATTAAATAAAAGATAGAAAACTGTTATAGGTATAATAGGTTAGCAATAAATTAGTGTTTATTTTAAATTAAAATACTCAAAGCCTTCAAATGTAGAATGAGTAAATATTAGAAACCTATAAATAATAAAATTTTAGGTTTTAATCGAAATTTTGTTTATCAGATATTTCAGCAAAACAACACGTGAATAAATTTGATTATTTATTTTCATGCTAGATAAAGTTGATTTAACTGATTTATTTCATATTTCCGCATTTAGTCGTAAAATCTTATATATTAATGTTTCCATTATACGTAACGCTTACGTTATATTGCAAAAATCTGATTATCAAAGGAAGGTTATGAAAAATAAATTGAACGTCTACCTATGTTTCTGAGATCTATGCCAACCGCAAATCTATTCGTGTCTTTCGGTGTATTAAGATTGTTTAAATGCTCCGGCAACTTTTGTCTGGCATAACCGAAACCAATAGGAACTCCAGTGAATTCTAAAATACAAAAAACAGTTAAATGAAATTAATTTAAAAAATGGTCATATTTATTGGTATTTACCATTATTGGTTTGTAAAGTATTTTCATTATCCATTGGGTTGTTTTGGCAACCTTCTGCTTTTGTAAAAGTACAATAAATAGGACAGTTTGAGTCATTTATCGGATTAACTGTTTGCTGCTCTAGATTAATATTGTCCGAAGCTGATATCTCAGCTACTTGACAAGGTTCCTGTTTAATATTTAATTCACTTAAATTGAAATCAGTTGTGCTAAATTTTTGTTCAGGAATTACAACTTTATCACATATTCTTTTATTTTGATTATCTGTTTCCTTGATAGTAGTAAGTGTTCTCTTCGATGTGTCAGAGTTACTTGAACCCCCCCAGGAACTGGGAGTGGATACGTTGCAACATCGGGAGAAATTAGAATATACAAGGGTCGTTGTTGTAGGTACAAATTGTTGCATAATATATGTATTTGAATACGCTTTCACATTGTTTATACCTAAAACCAAATTTTAATCTGAGTTTACAACATATTACACAGATTTTTTATGATGGAATATATTTTAAAGATATGTTCACTTCAAATTGCTTTTTTTCAGTTTTATGCGACACAAAAATATGCAAGTTTGCAACTATACACAAAATTTCATAGACAAATACAAAATACAATATAATCAAACAACGTTACCACGATTCACTAAAAATAACTATAAATAAACAAATATTAGTTAAAATAAAATATTGTTTAGCTTTAAAAATTAAAGTGTTATTAATACACTCTACAAAAGTTTTTCAATCCTCCGTAAAAACGCTCACAGTAAACATAAATTTATACTCCATGTGTCATATTTCCACATAAATATAATGATTTTAACTAAATTTTTAAATAACTACACATTTATTTATTGTATTCGTTTACATTCTATAACTTCTTTTAACCACTTGCGTTTCGAAAAAGTCTAATTAGATAATTTTAAAACTGCAATATGAATGTGTAATTAGTAATTACACACTAATTTAAACAAATTCTTTCATTTTCATTATTAGTTCTAGAAAATATTTTCCTCTTGAATTTTCTTTTAATTTTGAAATACTTTTCAAGTAAAATTAATTAAACATATTGGAAAGAAAATTATATCTTTGTTTTGAATAATTTAGGCTTTAATATGTAGCATGAATATCACCATTTGCAAATTTTTTTTGTAACCAAGTTTTAATTTGCTTATTAAATTTCCTGCCTAATCAAGTCGTTTATACCCCAAAATACTTTGGCTATCTATTCGGATATTTACGTTTGTTCACTAGAGAATTTGGTATTTGTATATCTCTTGTATTTTTACACAAGTTGACAAATGTTATTTGACAGTTTTGCTATGTACCTTTTAAAATAAGTTCTATAACATATCTAAGTACCTTTTTAAAAATAAGTTAGGAAAATGAAATGGTAAATATTCCAAATGAAATTACTTTTTAATACTTATTCTGCATTTTATATGGAAGGCAGCTAATAGAACATCTGAAGGTATGAAAAGAGATATACGACGGGAATTAAAATTTGCAACAAAGAATTATTCATTTTATCTACAGAAAAATTTTATTAACGTTTACAAGAAATAGATATTCAATAACCGGCATATAAACCGACCGATCAACATTTTTCCTGTGTATCCACCAAATTGTATTCTAATGGAGGATGACATAGTTGCGACACTGCAACAGTGAGGATCATACAAGTTGTCGCAGAAATGTCGTTGTTCCAATTCAGTTTACATTGACAGTGATAAAATTTTGAGCGAATATTCTAGAAAAATATTTAGGTATTGTTTATATATACGACATTATCTAAAAAGTAAATCTACGAATAACTCTAATGACTATTTATGAATCACACTGAAATTATCAGATCACACCATACGTCAAACTTTAGTAATTTTTCTATGAAAATGATAACCAAAATGAAAATCAGCTACAATGCCTAAAAAAAAATAATTGTAGCCATTTTACTTTTAAAAAATCGTGAAATTCGGTAATTGAAATACAGAAGTTGCAACTATTGCTATTGGCCTTTATTACTATAAGATTGATGTTTAAATAAAATATCATAAACAAATTGATTAATATTATACACGCTTTGAGACATTATTCAGTGTGAGAGCGACTGAGAATATAAAATATATATATATTAATATTATAATAAAATAATAAATAAAATAAAATACTCTCAAAATAAAATATATATATATTAATATTAAACGAACGCCATGGTTTACGGATGGCAAAAAATATATATACATATTGTATAAGTACATGTTGTCAAAAACCTAAATAATAATTTTTTAAATTAAAGTTGAATTTGAATTTTAAATATGGATTTTTAAGTATTTAATTTTAATTCAGTTATTTTAGTAAAAATAATAAGCTTGGTCTCGGAAGGATGTTTCTTCAACAGGAATTATTATTTAACATTTTGATGAATCGTGTTAATTTTAGCATATACTTTGTAGCTTTTAACAAATAACTTAGGTAAAAATCAGAAATGGTGTTATTTTAAAATAAGTCTTGAGGCTTATTATTTATTAATATTTAACTGAGTTACTTTTGAAAAATGTCTTCCAAACGGATTATTACTCTATAAAATGCAAACCAAATCATATTGATGATCTTTTGTGGGAAGCTGACATCATGGCAAAAATAAGCCATGGTGCCGATCAATTTACGATCATAACCTTTGTTTATACGATCACCTTTGTATGAATGGCTGTCATACGTCTCATTCCCTTGCCCCCTAAAATTCCTTTGTCCAAATTATATTTGACCCCTTTTAGATTTAAGTGATCAAAATCATTTTTTGATAACAGCTTTGCTTTAAATTTAACTCAGTAATTTTGGCCAAGTGGTGATACAGGTTGAGTTAATATTTATACTTCTTACCATCCCACGTTTTATACGTATATTTAAAGCGGCAACGCGATGGAACTAAAATATGTCAACCAATAAAAACATCCATTTGCAAGAAATATGAAAAATGAAAAATATCAAAACAAACAAAGTGAATATTTTCAAATAAAATTAATAAACATAACAGCACAGTAGTAACTTAAAAGTGTAAACATGAATATAACCAAATGAAATGGCGTATCGTTTACGGCACGTTATTGTGTGCGTATATTTTCTTTTCGAAATTCGGAAAATCGCTTGATACACCTCACTATTAGTCAAAACGTCAATAATCTAAAACGCTCACGACCTACCACCATCGCATTCATTATGCTGTTTCTTTACTCGTAAATTATAACAATTCCTTTAAAGTGGTTAAAAGGATTCTTAATTTTTTATTTTCACAAGGTTTTAGAGAATAATTTTACTTATTTAAAGATTTTTTTTTAAATTCAATTGAATTGGATATTCAGTTGAAACTAAAAGAACAGTATTTTGGTAAGAATTAAAAATTTTGTATTTGTATAGGTTAAAATTACAAAATAAGTCAAAGTTGTATACAGTACCTACATATATAAATATTTTAGAAACTTAATTTAGAAGCATTCTTTGGAGGCAAGTGCTTAAATTTTTGGAGTTATGTTATAAAGTTTTTGGTTTACGTAGATAAAATTAATAAAATCATGTCTGAAGATATTAATGAAGATAGTTGGCTTTATGGAACTGAAAACACTGATATCAAAGACAGTAATGAAAAAGAAAATGATTTGGAGAATGCTGAAACTGTTGATGAAAATAACGATAGTAATATAGATAAAGTTGAAGGAAAAGAGGAAACAACCGAAAATGTTGACTCGAATCAGCAGAAGCAGGTTAGTATTGAGGATGATCCGGCGATGGAGATGGAAGAACAAGAAGAAAGTCAAATGACAATACATATAAGTGGTGAAGAAACGGAAAATTTGGCAAATGGAAAAAGTAAGGGCACTGATGAAGACTATTCCGAGGATGATAGCGATGATGACGACATAAATATAGTTATTAACAGCATAAAAACGGGACCCGTATATACAAAACAAAGGCAAAACTTTCTCGTTCCAAATGTCGTATGTCAGACAGAGAAAAAGCCAACTAGCGGAAAATTTAGTATTGAAGAATTTGAAAGCATGGGTTCTATAAACGGAGTATCCGTTCATGAATTCAGTATAGATTCTTTAGACGAAAAACCGTGGCGGAAGCCGGGAGCAGATATAACGGATTATTTTAACTATGGTTTTAATGAAGATACTTGGAGAGCATATTGTGAACGTCAAAAACGTATTCGTATTAATGAAAGTGGCGTAGGTTTACAAGCTTTAACTGCCGCATTAAGTGGAATGCCAAATCCTCAACCGAATACTTATAATCAACAGCAAGGGCAAACACCCCAAGTTATATCCTCCACTGGATTTATGTCCAATAATCGAACTCTTACACCAGTTTCAAATACTGATAAATATTCAGGTCAAATGAGATCGCGCAACTCTTTTCCACCAAGTCAACAGCTTGCTAGAGAAAACGCTATTCAAGTGATGACTGCAGAATGTAGAGACTATAGCAAAATGAATTTTGCTGGGGGACATGATGATTCATTTTTTGAAAATGATGGTTATAATTATGGATTTGAGCCAACGCAAGATTTGCAATGGTTAAATCAAGTAAACAAAAGTTGGCAGCCAACCGGCATTAAAGAGCTTACTTTAGATCCGGGACTTGTTGGACCCCCAGCAGAGATGTCTAATCACTCTGCCCCAGAAATGGGCCAGCATCCTATGATGAACATTCCACAACCAACAGGAATGACCCCTTCAACAACGGTAAATACTTTTGTTTTCCCGAAATATCTTAGTTTTCAAAGAAAATCGGTTTTCTTTCTAAAAATTTTCAAAGCTTATTTCAGCATGTCGATTAACGGGCGCGGTTTGATAAATTTTTTTTTGTTTATTTATTGTTTAGATTCCTCGGCCAATTGAAAGTTTAATGCTTCCGCCAAAAGTAGCTCCTCCGTTTCCTAATAGAGATTGGAATAAAGATTGGGAACGAGATAAAGACATGCATTACAAAGATCGGGAGAGAGAAATACGTAGCCGAGATAAAGATAGGATAAGAGAAAGTAGAGATCGCGATTCAATTATAGAAAGAGAAAGATCTGATCGTGATAGGTCTGATAGAGAGTATAACCGCGAAAGAGAGAGAACAGATGATAAAAAAAGAAGTAGAGATAAAAGTCGGGAAAGAAATAAAGAAAAATCAGAGGTAATTTGATGGTGCTACTTAAAAGAAATTTAATACACCCTTCTTTTTAGGAATCTGATGAAAGCCGAGAAAAACGTCGTCGAGATCGTGGAAGGGAACGTGATCGTGACAGAGAAAGGTAAACCATCCATACAATTATCCTGAAAAATTTTTCTCTTGATTAATTTTGCGTTATTTTACACAATTATTATAAATTTAAAATTATATTAAATTATATTTAGATCTTCAAGAAGAGATAGCTCAAGAACTCGAGAAAAATCTAAACGGAGATCCAAAAGTCACGAAAAAAGCAGTGATCGCAAAGAAAAGCGGGATAAAAAGAAAGTTAAGGAAAAAAATGGGAGCGAATGAATTAATATTTTCAATATTTCAATTTATTGTAAATAAGTTTTTAATTAAAAAAAATATATGTAGCCTTGTAAGAAATTTTCTCTAGCTAATATATGAAACTACACGTATACACATACATACTTTTAAAGATAACATCCTTTTATGCTATTCAATATGGAATTGTTAAACTATTGTGCCTACATTTCCACAAAAGGGTGAAGTTATTGATATCTTTGCAGTGCCTATTTAAAAAATACATTTTACGTAATGATTTATAACATAATTTTATTAATTTTTCTGTATTATTGCGACATAACCAATATCTTCGTAGTTTTTGAAATGTAAATTTAAATATTTTTAAGTTATTTGATTAATTGAATAATGCATTTTAAACTGCAAAATTAACTAATATTTTGCAATAAAAAAATATCTTTCCGTATCAATTACAAACATAATCTTTAGGACGTGTGTTTTCTTCAATTTCGGTCAATTTCTCATCTATACTTTTTAAGAAGTTTGTTGTTGTTTTCTGTAAAGCACTGTAGCGTTGCATAGCTAGTATTAAGCTTTCCTCTATAAGTTCATTATTTTGCTTGGCTTCTCTTAACTGTTTATTGGTTCTTTCTATTAAATCGCTTACGTCTGGAAGTGATTTAAAATATTCAGCACCTATTGTAGATTCCAGTTCCTTAATTTTTTTTAGCATTTCAAATGTTACAGCCAAAGTTGTTGCAATTGATTTTACACACATTTGTTTTGCTTTTGCATCCTGCGGTTTCTCCAAAGAATTTGTGTAACTTTCTATTTCTGCATATCTGCTTGCAGCTTTAATTGTTTGTTGGTGCCCACTCATCGTGCTTGCAATTAAACTATTGGCAGATATTAAACTGAAGAAAATGATTTATTATTATATACCTTGTTAAATATTTTTTTTTATATATTTTTACCTTTCACAAAAATCTTCATCACCAGTGCTGCTGGATACAGAATTTAGAATTTTTTTCAAACTATCAATTCGACTCTCAATTAAACAGAGAAGATCAAATTTAGCGGTACCCTTGCATAATAATGTGCTATCAGCTCCCATATTTTAAATATTTTTGAAACAATGTTAAAAAAATTCTTTTTAATCTGCAATTTATCTGGTCTTTACCGTATACTTTACATTTAAGCTTAAAAGTTGAAGTAAATGTCATAGAAATTTGTAATCAAATTTGTATGACACATTGTTAGCGATGTGAAAATACAATTGACAGTAGATGCGCATACTTTCCTGCTTGCGCTTAAATTTGACAGTTGTCATTCGATACAGTAGAAGAGAAGTTTTTTCAATTAAAAGGGAGTTATTTTCGAGAAAAGAGGGCATGGTTTCCTACAACAAATATGAAACTGCAACCCACGAGGATTTTTATATTAAAACCTATAACTTATGTTTTAATATAAAGCACGTCCCTAAAACTAAGCTGCAAAATATGCAAAATTAACTTGAAAATGACAATTTTGCTCAAATTTCTAAAGGAATTTTTAAATTTTTTTAAAAACACTGCAATAATATTATAAATTAGAAGAAGAGCATAACAGAACAATGTTTGATATTGAAGAATTAAATAGTAGAGCATGTTACAAATCTGCTAAAAATATTCAGTTTTTGCAGATTTGTAAGTATTTGTGAAAAGACTTTTAAGATTTAATTTAGAACTTTCCTGAATTATCGAAAATCCCCTACGGCGAAACTTTTAAAACAAACATAAGTAAGAAAGTTTAAATACATTTTTGGCATTTACTACATATGTATGTATAATATAGAAATTAGTTTTTTTCTAAAATAAGTTTCCAATAAATTTTAACTAGATTCCCAACCGTTAAATAAATTCCTCTTATAAACTTTCTTTTGAAATCGCTTTTGCAGCTTCTACAATGCAAATACCGAAATATTTTGTTTTGTTAGAAAATATAAAAAGATGTGCAGAAAACGGGGAAGGAGCACGATAGTACGGGAAACAAAATATTGTTATATCCCGTACTACTAGAAGAAGTAGAAAAAAGCGGAAACTGCTAAAAAAAAAATTAATTATAATAATAATGGTAATTAAAATTTAAACTAAATTAATATTAAAAAAAAATTGTAATCAAGTTTCTTTCTTTTAACGGAACCGTTCTACATAGTTCAAAATTCTGCATTTGCAGTTGAGCAGCTCTCAGAAACATGAAAAAATGAATAGACAAAATGCTTCTTTCCGAAAAAGGGAAATTGTGTTTTATACAAAAACGGTGATCGTAAATTACTACCCACCTACACCTTTTTTTTACTAACAATGACAAACATTTTCAAAGTACAGCTATTATATTTATGTTGGCTTTGTAAAAATAAAGTAATTTTATTGTGATTCAAAATTTCGAATGCACTGAGTTTTCAAAAAGCTGATGAAAGCAATAAATATAAGCTCATAATATGTACAAACTTAAGTTTATATACCTAATTTTCTGATACTCAACTTAAATTCCTTTCTCACCGAATGAAACTTTGAATAAAGCGTTCTATTTTTGTATACACGTTTTAATTTAATTTGATTCTAGGTATAACAAAATTAAATATAATTATAAATCGCTTCGAGCATGTTTTTGTTTCAAGCTTTCTATTCTGTTGACATAGTCTATTTTCTCTATGCATCCCTCACATACTTCATTCCAATCATTTAAAATTCGTTTTAAGTCTCTTACTTTTAATTTTTTTAAATCCACTGCATTTACATCGATTTGTTCATCTATAATAATAATCATTTAATTTTTGTCATTTTTTTTTTGCTTTTTTTTAAATTACCGAAACGTAGTTCACATATTTGTATATCCTTCTTCTTTAATTTTTCACAGATTTTATTAGCAGGCATAGACCAACTTAAAGGCTTTGATAATTCTGCTAGTATTCCAGTTGCTGAGCTCTCAAGTCCTCCGAGATAATAACACTACCGTAAAAAGAAAAATTGGTTACAGAAAAGTAGGTATGTATGTGTACATATCCACTAGAAACGTACCCAGTTTGTTTAACAAAAAAAAATGTACCGGCTTTCACATTTATATTGAAAAAACTTTATACTTACAAGCCTTTGCTCTTTGTTTCCAGCAGTTTTACAAAACTCTCTGAAAGCATTCTCAATAGTTTTTGTATCTTTTAATTGCTGATCCGTAAGGGTTCGCGCAAATCTCTCTATAGTTTTTACGCATACTAAAATGATAAATGCTTTAATTATATGCTAGACTTTATTTAAGAAAATGGTATTTACCTTCACAATCATTTGCTTTCACTCCAACTAAATAAATCAAATATAAAACAATTGAGAAATACATAAGAATTAATTTCTGAAATAAAAAATCTTAGTTATTATTTAATGAACCAAATAATAATTCAATTTTTAATATACACACCATTTTTAAATTATTACTATCTGTAAAAAATAAGAAATACTAAATGCCGTTCAACTCTGAATAAGTTTAATGATAGATGTTTGTACCACGTCAGTCTTTGTAAATCTCTTCCTACATCCCAAAATTTAACGATATGACATTGAAAATGAGGAACGTCAAATACAGTGTGACCGCGCTCTGTGAACAGTTATAAGGTAATTTACTTGTTATAGACATGCTTGTTTTAAACGAAAACGTGGAAAAAGTTAACAAAATTTTCGAAGTAAGAAAATTTAATGTATTATTATATTATATTATGTGGGTGATGTCAAATTATGATAAAGTGTTATATCTGTTTATATTACATATTTTGGTTATTCAAATTTTTTGTAATAGCTTTTTTTAAAGTAGCAAATCTTCTAAAATTGTCTTAATAAAAATTTATAGAAATTTCTAATAATTTTTTACCAAAGCCTACTTTGTTTAATCAAAAATATTTCAATTTATTTTAAAATGAAAAACTTTTAATTAAAATTTTTAAGCAATATTTATGTTGACATTAACAAAAAAAGGGTATTGTGCAATATATTTGATCAGACATTTTGACAAATGTATATAATTTTGCTAGAACTCACATTATTACCTCATTGCTCAAAATATTAACATATTGAAGTTTCAATATCCCTAATGTTAATATTATTTATACATACTTACATTAGATGAACTATACATACAATTATGTAGCAAGGTAGCATTTTAACCAATTTATTGTTTCATAAGTTTTGGATTTGCATTAAACAAAAATAGATGCAACACAAAATATTAAATTCTGTTACTTTTGTAAATGTAACTATTATTCTTGAATTAGATGGGTGAGTAATAATAACAAAATTTTTTTAATTTAAAATTTATAGTTTTATTTTAATTGTCTGATTGCATTTATTTAAATCAAAGTTCTTAAAAAATGAATTAAAGTTTTAAGGTTAATAAAATGTATGTACATATGTATGTGTTGTATAATTAAAAATTACGTAAATATACGTGTCATAAAAAAAATAGTTTCACAGTTGTACAACGTATCAAAATTTGATTTTTACATATATTTAATTGCTATATTAATATTCGAATAATTGAAGTAATTTTGAAAAATACACGGACTAGAGATGGAGCATCTTATCAACCTTAATCAAAATTACAGTTGTTTGTTAAAATCTTTTTTAAATATTCATATTTTTTTAAAATTATTTAAACACTAAAAATATGTTATTAGTCATTATTTAAATCATAAAAATGTGCGAAGTGTTTTGCATCGTAGTTTAAAATCAAACATGCCTTAGTGGCATGGGAACAAAAAGGTATGTTTCATTTAAAAAAAAAACAATTAGTAAATTTTATTTAAAGAAAGCGCCTCTTTTAAACTTTGGAAGCAAAATTTAGAAAAAAAAAATGAAAAATTTGCGATGGGTTTGTTTTTTGAAACAAAAATCTAAGTGGTATATAGGACAGTACACAGATTTAAATAGCGCGACAACTGCCTATAAGTATGCATCCTTCGAGTATGTGAAATCGATATATTATTTGAGTTTTAGCATGAAAAAATGTAAATACCGGCATATATCGTTACAAGGAACATCGATAAATATTTGCCATCCCTTGTCTGCAACATATTATTTATATATTTTTATAAAAAAAGCAATAAACATTATTATTATATCATAGACTAGACGTATATTAACATACATATGTATGTGTGTACCGATATTAGCGGAAAATTTATAATTACAATAATAAAAAATATTTTTGAATTTTTGTTAATGTTTGTTTGTTTCTTCTGTTTAACAAATTTGGCACCAAATCAGGAATCACAAAATATAAAAATAAATGTAGGTATGTATGACCATACATTTATGTGAAGGCCACACATTTTCGTGCACGCATAAAGAGTTCTTAGCTGGGATTCATTAAAAAATTGTTTATGAAAATGATTCAACTTTCAAAAAATTTTAGTTCGACTTAAATTTGACAACAAAAATGACGAACGATAATGATCAGTGAAAAAACATGGGAGATCAATTTAAATATAATTTAAAAAGCAATAATATTTTTATTGGATTATTTTTCAAGGAGCAAGGTAAATAAAAATTTTAGGCTATTTTAGCGCCGACTGTTATGTACACGGCGGTAATTTCGTTTGGTTTTAGGCCGTCCCGTTTATATAAATGTTCATTTTATATGAATTTTAATATTTTGCAGCGGGAATTCGATCTGTCGATCATATAGAAAGGAACATTTTTTAAAAAAAACTAAATAAAAATAATAATCTTAATAAGTATTTAGAATTCCTAGTAAAATTTAAATACACCCAATGGAATAAATTTTTTATTTTACTTCCATTTTCCATAAATTTTTTAAATAAAGCTTTAGTAAACATGATGTGATTTGCGAGGCACAAGACTGTGGTTTTGGAAAGTCCGTGGCGAATGGTTGTCTTATGTAACATACGTATATGTAGAAGATATCTGCTAAAGTTTTTATGATAAAGATTGAGATAAATCTCTATTGTATCCACAAAGAAAATCTGAGATATTCCAAAAAAAATTATGTAAATATTTCGGCTATATTATTTTCTCATTTTTTTCATGCAATAATACATCCCTCGCTTAACAGAAGCTCCTTATACTAAATTTCGGTTTTACGGAATACAAAAATTAAACCAAAATCTCTTTTTACGGAAAAATAATTGAATTTACGGAAAATTTTTACGAAAATACGAACAACAGTAGTATAAAAAATTAAAATTTTTTTAAGAAAAACTTATTTATAGGAATTGTAATTGCTTTTTTCCAAGAATTAAAATTTCTTGCTGATTCTTGTGGTCTAATGTTTTAATAGTAATAAAATCCTATTATATTTTTTGCAAATTAACAAGAAATATATGTACTCGTAACCTCTATAAGTTTAGGTAAAAAATTATGTGGTTGTAACGTAATGTAAACAAAAAGATTCGATTTTTAACGGAATTTTGATTTACGGACAACATTTCCGGAACATATGTATTTAATAACGCTTTTTTTATCTTTTTGATGTTGTTTGGAAAAGTGCTTTTTATATGGGTATGTAAATATTTTTGAAAAAGGTTGGATTAAATCATGTAAAGCAGCATTATTTCCTTTAAACAAGAGAAATTGTTACTTTTAAAAACAATCTACATAATATGCATTACGTTATTGAAATTTCTTTAATTCATATGTATACAGATATATAATAATTCATTGCATACAATTAGGATGGGCACAAGAAAAATATTGAAAGAAGCGTTAACATAATAGTTGAACTGAACGGTTGAGTCAGTTAATTTAATAATTAAGATAATTATATTAATTATCTTAATTATTAAATAAATTATACTTTTTGATGACATGTCATTATATCTGAAAAACCTTTCAGTTTCGGATACATAAAATGCCGAAAATTCAAATTTTAGCAATTTCAACAAGCAATAGCTTGGGAGGGGATGGAGGTGGAAAAAAGAGGAAAATAGAGGGTAATTTACTTTGTTCAAAAATTTAAAGTGTCATGAAAATTCAGTTTTTACTGCAATTTGGCGTTTATTTAATAAAAATAATTGTTTGTATTTTACAACTCAAATTTTTTAATATTTTACTCAGTAATTTTTATTTCTGTGTGTAATCAGGGGCATAAACAATGATCGCATCTAAGGATTTTTCGAAATAACTATTCACACTAGTTGTTTTGGTACTTTAATAGTTATCATTTTTGAGGCAAGCTGTTTTTCAAATTGCATTAAAGTGATGGGAAAGAAAGTGCCTATAATTGTAAATAAGGACGATGTTGTCTGAATAGAAGTTTCAGACATCATCGTCATTATTTTCTTAATCATTAGGAACTTTCAGAATTCAAAACAGTTTCTAAAGGAGCTTTTGTTAACTTAAATTGTAAACAAGAACGAGGAATTTTTTCAAAAATACTTTAGATTCAAGTCCTTAAATTATAACTTAAAAGTTTAAAATTGACTTTGAACTTGAGATTTTAATAAATGAACTTAGTTATTTCTGTTATAAATTACATATGTATAAGCTTAGAAATTGATGTTATTTAAAACGTATTTTTATTTTATATTGTACTTTTATATTTGCATCAATTTATTTTTTCCAATAAATGAATATAAAAAGCTGGTTTTGCGATTTCATTTAATGGTTTGAAATCCCCGAAAATTTTATGCTCAGCTTTATCTCCAAAAATATTTTTGACAGTTTTTGTAAAAACATCTAAAACATGTGGATAGTATGATAATCGAAATTCGTTTACTTCTCCATTTACTAATATTTGATAGTCCATAGTGACCATTGATGGTTTACCACAATACAATAGTACTGATGTTTTGATATCAACTGTGTGGGCAGTCTACAACAAAAAAAAAAAAAGAAATTTTTTTTTTTAAATATTCAATTATGAATGATCGCAGAATTTTTTTTTTTTCTTACGTTATAATATAAACTTTTCGCAGGTGTTGCTCCTGTTTCTAATATATTATCGTAATTTCTATGATCAATTAAAAGAATACCACCTTTCTTCAAACATTTCTTGAAGTTTGTTATTGCTTGCTTTTGTTCGCGTTGATCACCATAGGAATCCATCATGTGAGCGAAAGAATTCCCTAAGCAAACAACAGCATCAAAACCATCTCCAATAAAATGATGTATGTCATCGTAAAGTGTAAGCCAATTCGCTTCCTCTATTACTATATATAATTACATATGAAATTTGTATGAAATATAAATTTATTTTAACAAAATGCATATTATATTATGTATACTCCAATTATCAAATCCTGGTTCTTTTCTTCTGTTCCATCTCTCTTTTAATGCATATTTTAGCATTTTATCTGAAGCATCTATAGAAGCAACTTCAAAGCCTTCTTCAATTAACATAACTGAATCTACCCTGAAATTATTTCAAAAATTTTATTACGAATATTTTTAGGCAATAAATTAAATAACAATCAAAATTTTTAATGCCATCTTATGATTCATATATAATTTTATCACAAGTAAATTTTATCTGCTGGATTGGTAAATTGGGATCATATTTTAAAATTTACAAATTTCGAAATCACCCATTTAGTAATAAAATGACCTAGCACGTATCTAAACAAAAATATTATTAAATTTAAAAAATAAAATGTTTTGTTTTGCCATCTTTTGTTTTTTTATTTGTACAAATGTTTTAGTAAAATTAATATTTTATTTTAAGATTGTTTTTGGCTGCAAAAGTTATTTATGTTATTAATGATTAATTATTCTGTCGCAAGTTCTTATCAAATTCGATATTTTGTAAATACGTCAATTATTGAACTTTGCCTATTATGATCGATCGTCTTATTTTCCGTGACGTTATAAATTGGGAAATTTTTTTTACTTATTTACACGTCTTTTCCATGTGATTAGAAATTTTTTTTTTTAAAGTTTTTAAAACAAATGAAATTTGTTTCAAATACATGAAAAATTTTAATGAATTTCAAAAATGAAAAAGGTGAAAAATTTCCTTATTCACATATAAATAGAATTTACATAATTCTAAAAACTTGCGTTAAAAATATTCGAAAAAAATACAATTCGAAAATATTTCGGAAAATAAATTATTTCATAAAAAAGGCAAACTTCGCTTTAAGTTGGCTGTGACAACTGCATTGTTTGGAATTCTTTTCTTCTGAAAAACTGCTTTTCATAAGAAATTTCTGCATTTTGTTTTAGATTCATTAAAATTTCGTGACATCCAAAATGCAGTAAAAAATTTACTACAGTTTAACTGCATTATTAATGCTTTGTTCATTGACTCAAACAATTGCATTGTATATAGTCTCGATTCTTTCACTACGCTGTTATTTTTCTCACTGCATAGTTAAAACCCATTTTTGACAATTTAAAATTTGCTACATTGTATGAATTTTTTATTCTACATATAATATTGGTCCCAGGTACAATGTAGTACTACAATTATACTGCTTATATTGTAGACGTGGTAAAGTAATAATTGACTATATGATGAAACCTTTACCGTACATTTTGTTACCGTTTTATTAAAAATTTAGAAAAAAATTTTGGAACATTTATTTAAATAAATATTTTAACAATAGCATTTCATTATAATCAAATATTAATGTTATTTTTCACTGATCGCATTGCATATTGTATTAAGTATAATGTTACGTATATAGAGTAATTTCTTTATTGAAACTATTACAGAATAAATTCAAGGTTTTTAAAGAAAAGTATAAGAAAAAGTATAAATGAAAAATACATTTCACTAGCTTACTCCAACACTAACGTAGCTCAAAATTTGTACATTTGAGAAAAAAGAAATTTTAAGGTGTTGAAGTCAATATATTTTTCTCGTAAGCAGAAATTTTGAAGCTAAAGAAAAGGTGTTTTTGAACAAAAAAGAAATATTTTAAGTGTTTATCTCTATATAAAATCTCTGTTATCAGAAATCTTATTTTTTGAGTTATTTCACTGTTATATAGCAAATGAACCATTTGCTCAACCCTAAGAATTCTTGTCTATAACAAGAATGGATGAATAGAGTTAATAAATATGAACTTATGTATTTGTTTTTACAAAATAATCTTTAAATAAAATAATATAAAACTTTTCTGTTTTTTATAATTATAGTTTTCGTTTTTAATTATTCTTTGTGTAAATAGCACCTCACATATACAAAGATTTTTTTATTATTAAAAAATACGTAAGAAGTAACAAATAGAAATTAAATTCTTACCCAGTTCCACAAGCAACGTCTAAAATTCTTTTACAACCTTTTGCTCTCAAAATATCTATTAAAAATTTTTTATAATTGGCGGTTCGTGAACGTTTATCACCAATAAAAATTTCCCAAACTTTTGCTGCTTTACCATCTGCATATTGATCACGGATACCTTCTGCTGAAATACCTTCAGAACGTGCATGAAATACCGTATCCTGTGTTGCTGACATTTTTCTTTCCATTGCCATTTTACTTTAATTTTTTTTTTTTTTCAATTTTACTACACAATTTAATTCCTATATGATGAATTAAAATCAAATACTAAAAGTTTAATAATTTCTATTCTTCGATTTATATTACTTTCACAAAAGTTTCTAGCAACAATTTTTTTAATCTTCTTATCAAACTGAAATAAAAAAAATATTATTTTGACCTTAAGAACCCCCTTATTGAATCCAGTATGTTCTTAGTTTTGTTTTTATTAAATTTAAATGAATTATAAAACTAAAATAATAAATTGTTTCCTCTTTGAAATTCGTCAAATCTGTTAAATTCTATTCTAGTTCTTTATCAGTATTCCAGTATTACTTTCAATTAATGAATATTCTTTTATAATTAGGGTTTTTATCATTAAAGTAATTTTGAATTAATTCCAAATTTTTGTATAATTTCACTTTTAAAATATTAAGAAGAGAATGTTTTCTAACTAAGTACGTATTTGTTTTTGAACTCTGTAGCAATTTTTTCTTCTCTTCTACAAGTTCTTGGCCTGTGTTGATCTTGATATTTTAAATTTTTATAGTTCGTTAGTTACTCCGGCGAATTCAGCAGCAAAATCTTTGTTGGAGGAATGTTTTGTAATCTATATAAGTAAGTATGAGTGCTCGCAAGTACGTAGGGGGTAATCGTTAATGGTGAAATGCGACTTAATTTTGAATTTAACCTTTTGAATCTTAATCGATATTGCAGTTAATAAAAGTATTAAAACTTTTAATGTGGTCAACAGATATCTATGTATATTTTGTAGTGTAACCATTTCTGAAAATCAAAGTTGTCAATTATTGCCGGTAGGTCATATTGTTAAAATTTTTTGGAATTTTTGTAATAAAAATTTCAAATGCTGATTTTGTTTTTTGTACAAAATGGAACATTTTGAAGGCGATAAATAATTTTATTAAATAAAATCAAAAACTATTTGATTGCACGTAAAAGTTTTATGCGAACAAAAATTTTTTTTAGCATAAATTGTTGATTCCCTGTTGGTGATCGTCAGATGCAATTGTTGTCGATTTTCATTTTACATTATCGATTATTAAAAAACCATTTCTTATAGTTAACAGGTCTAACTACCGTATATTGCATATGTATGTACCTATGTACTATATTAATAAAAATATTTAAATATTTAATTTAATCAGTAGTATTCGATATTTGAAGATTTTTTTTTTTCTTAATTTTATATATTATGCACATAAGTATGTACATATGTTCATGTTTATGTTATTATCAAAAAATTACATGAAAATAAATATTGAATTGTATATATTCTATTGAATTGTATGTATGTATGTACGGAAAAAAATTGACCCTAGTAACTTTAAAATGTACGTATTATGCATGTACAAAAATACTAACGTGAAATTTTGACAAAAATACAAGAATCTTTAAATTTTTTTGTTATTTTATAGTAATAAATCTTGAAAGAGCTTCATTATCTATACGTCATGTACAACTCTAAAAAAAATATAAGAATTTTGTGCAGATGTAACAAATTCTTATCTTTTGAATTAATTTGCGCTGTCATGCGAATGTGTATATATGTACATATGTACATAATTATGTAAGTTTTCATACATGTTATGTAATTTTTCTATGGGATAAACTTGAGCTTCAAGTTATGCAAAAATTCTACCAGTAATACATATTTGAATTCAATTAAGGATTTAGCGTGTAATTAATCTTGTTAAGCACCATCATTTATTGGTATTGAATACATAAGAGTTGAGTATTTAAAATGGAATGCCTCTTTTTTTACTCTACATCATAAAGGTATTAACACGCTTCTTTTTTCGTAGAACCATGGTTCAAATAAATTAAATTATTCATGCAGTGTTTATTAGTAGATGATTATTTTTGTTTTGTTAATTTAGTTTTGTACTTAAAAAATATATGAGCACCAAAAAATTAAGTTTGATCAAACAAATGAAGTCGTCAAATCATTTTTACGCGTGCTAATGATTGATGTCATTTTAAATGAGAAGAAAAAACGTTAAAGAACATGAGATAAAAAAACGTTGATGTATTTTATAATATATAAAATCTATGCAAATGTATGTATGCAAGTTTAGTACAAGCATTTTTATTTAATATGTAATTAAATTGCATAGTGCCAAAATTTTTGTTTGTTGAAATTAGTTCCCAAGTTCAATCATCACAAACAAACTTAAATTAATTCTCAGTTTAATTTGCAATTTTGAAAAAATCTACAAGTGTTCAAAAATTTCTGCCTTTATTATCACATTTGATCTATACGATTACTGCTGTGGAAACTATTTTGTACTTAAAAAAAACAATGTCGGATTTACAGGATTTATTAGAATAAGTTTCTTTTAAATTTTGTTAATACTTTAATAAAAATTTTAAATTTATATTTCAGTGAACTCAAACAAGAAAATATTTAATTTTGTGGTTTTATTTTTGAAACTCTAAAAAGCAAATCACAATCCACAACTAAAAGAACTTTCACAACTAAAACAGCTTTTTTCTTATGATAATGAAGAATATGTAGTTTTTTTTAGCTGCACCTTTCTGTTGTCTAAGTTAGAAATGCGAAAGCATATTACATTATCAAAAACACCTAAGTATGTACGCAAATGCATTTTTTTATTTGCAAATGAAAATGACCGTCGCATTGATTGGTAATTTTTTGGAAAAGTGCTATGCAATAATATGCTGCTTTTCTCAAAATAATATTTTAATATTTAGCCCGAAATTTTTTTTATAAGGATTTATAAATTAGTCCCACTAAAAAATTATTGTTGACTATATTTTTTAAGAGCTTAAAAATTTAACTTTTTAAAATCAGGGCAATATACTGAATTTGCCACGATCAAGGGTTGATTGATATATTTCTTTCTTTAAAAATGAAACAACATTTAATTTTCAAACCACTTTATATTATACAATATTTTTTCCTGACTTAATTAATATGTTTCAAAGATTTAAATTAGATATTCTTTGATTTTACGCAATTTTCCATATATAACTAAGAAATCAAGAATATAATTTTCATTTTACTTTTTTTTTTTTTAATTTGCGAAATATTTTTATATTAAAGACGAAATATTAAGTTATTTTTAGCAAAATTGTTTTTCCATATCTCTATCCTTTTTTTTGTTTCTAAATTTTATTATACATAATATGTATACAAATAATAATAATATTTATAAAAATATATTTGTATATTTTGTATACATTACAATTATATAATAATAATAATTAATGTTTGTTTTAAAAATTCGCACACAACTAATCTTATACCTAGGCAATACAACGCAAAACTAATGAAACTAAGTAATATAATTTTTATAATGTAATTAATCTTTATCATCATTGATGTACATTTCCAATTCAAGCAATACAAAAATACCAAATTTACATTTTTTTTATTATTTATTTTATACCCTTTTACTAAATTACTTTATGTACCTTTTTTTTTATATAATACTTCATACATTATCCATAAAATACAATTTTGACTTAATCTTAATAAATTAATATGTAAATAGATTTTCTTTTTTTCTTTACACGATAAATGTTTCGGTTGTCATATTCTTTTTCATTGTTGTTTGAATAAATTTTCTTTATTGCACCTCACTCTTGCTTCAAAATTAAACAGAAAAATGTATGTAATAAAATAAAAGAAAATTAGAATTCTAATAACCTACTAACAAATTAGAAAAAACGAGAAAATACAAAAAAAATTATACATTTCAGGGATTATAATTTCAGTCTAGATTTAGTTACAAAATTGCACAGTCACATAGTAGGGAAAAACAGGAATTTTAAATAAATAAGCAAATATTTCATGTAATAGGAATTTTTTAGTTTTAGTTTATCAACTTGTTACAAAATATTTAAGAAAAAAATTAAATTATGAATTGAAGGTTTTAATTATGTATTGAAATTACACTGAAAAAATTATTTTCAAGCACATAAGTTTTAAGTGCAATTCCCAAAATCATTCCTTGCTTTACATAAATGCCTTAAATTTTTATTTAAATGACCATAAAAGAAATTTTCGTATTCGCGAGAAACATTCCATTTAATATTTTTATTATGTACATGAAAAAAATTAATAATAACATTCAAAATGTGAAATTGATTTCACCTATCTAACATGTTTTTATTGCCACAAAATAAAAGAAAAAACAAAATAAAACAAAATAAAATAAATAAATTAAAAATAAATAAACAAATTTACATCATACTGAAACAATTTTCTAAGAAACATACTTCCTAACATAAACCGAAAATATTTTTATGATTTCTTACAAATAAAAAAAAAAAGATGAAATCTAATATTTCAATACGGGTGTGCATAATATAATTTCGCAAATTTAATAGTTAATATTTTTTTTTTTTAAACAAATCATCCATAGATTCTTAGAGACAATAATTATTAACCATTTATGCAATTAATTTACCCTTGAAATACGTTTAAATATTTGTTTAAAAATTCAACCTTATACTTTAAATACACAATTTATTATAAATTTATTGATCAATATTAGTGTGTTTCATATACAAGATATAGAATGAAATGAATTAATTGCAATTAATACACTATAAAAAAAAATATTTTAAATTTATGTAATATATAATTATATGTATATAATATATATTCTTTGTTGAATTTTTATTCACATCAAAATTTTAAAATTTCATCTAATAGGCGGAAATTTTTAAGAAAATTCCTCACGAAGTTTAACAAATTATGTATATTTTGGAAATTGTTAAAAAGTTTTTTTTTTTTTGGTTGTTTTTTGTTTTTTTTTTATGATTGTTTTTCGTCCTAAAATTTTGATAAAAACATTTATTTTGTATTAAATATTTGTACTTTGAATTTGAGGTCTTTTAGAAACTTTCAATATATAAAGTTGTTATTTTTATTTTTTGTTTTATTTTATTAATAATTTTCAATTATTTAGTTTTCCATAAATCGGTTTTGTGAGTTGAACTATGAATATTTGTTTTACACCTGTTTTACTTATAATTACAATCAATTTGAATTTAATAATAAGTATATAATTATATTTTTTTACTCAATAATTTTATTATGTGATTTTGAAATATTTTAAATCGGTATTTCATATTTTTAATTTTATATATACTAAACATTTTTTTGTACTGATTTAGATATTATTTAATAATAGAATAATATATTCAATTTAAGTTATTTTTTAATTTGGTTTTTAAACTGTCTCTGATTATTTTAAATGGTAATATGAATATATTTATTTTAAAATAATTTCAAATATCAGGAAAAAAAAAATGTAAAATGTTTTAAATAATTGGCATAGATGTTTTTCCTTAACAAAATTTCTGACAGAAAATGAAAACCTATAAAAAGAAAAATGCAATAGTAATATTCTGAAAGTTAATTAAAAAAAATAAAATAATTTTTTTTGGAACTGCTTAGTCTAACATTCTCCACACTTTTATAAAATTTCTAACTACCTTTTTTAATTTAAAATATTATGCAATTCTCAAATTCATTTATAATTTATGTAAGTACCGAATTAAAATATTACAAAACGAATATAAAAATATGAAATATAAATGCACATATATAATAATTTATTTATGTTTACAAATATTTTTTTATCTTAAAAGTAAATATATATTAATGAACTTCTATATAAAACATACATAAGAGAAAATTTAGCATATTTTGTGTTATATTTTTTAATTTTATTTTATTTTTTTTTTTATTACAAATAGCAAATTCAATTGAATTTAAAATTCACTGGTAACAAGTAAAAGGATTAAGTTTCAAATTACGTTTTAATTGTAATGTTTATATATCTACGTTGTATATAAGATAGATAAAAATCTATATAATGTAATACATTTTTGTTTTTTGTATTTATATTTTGTAAAATGGTGTATATATGAGGTATAAGTGAAATTTAGTTAATTGTTAAATTTTAATTTTAAATTTTTGTTTTTATTTTTTCTTTTGCTATATCCAAAGAGTGCTACGTAATAATTTTTCAGTTGTTTAGTTTTTGTTTGCTTCATTTGTTGATGTACATTTTGTATGAGCTTTTATTATAATTTTTTGTTAGAAAAAATTTTTTTTCTTTGCACTTACAATGTATGTAATAATATTATTTTTAATCTAAAATATAATCTAAATAATTTTTAAAAGTGTAAGTAATTTTATTATTTTATTTTCTTAAAAATCAATATTTTTAGTAACTATTGTTGTAGTGTCCTTATTTTCTATTATGAATTTGTATTTTTGTAATTTTTGGCTCGTGTTTTTTTTGTTTGTTTTTTTTTTTATTTTTTTTGTAATTGTACCTTTTAAAATTTCATTGTTTTTTTAACTGAAGACATTAAAAATTCATTCTTATTTTTAATATTTTGAAGTCATCTGATTTTGCATTTACATATTTATGATTTGTACTGGTATTTTAAAAGTTAAATAAATGTTTTTCAGGTGGCTTCAGTTTATGAACTAAATTTCTTTTGTCGGATATATCAGAATATTTAAAATTTACCCAAAGTTTTCTTTTGTTTTTTGTATAACTATCATAAAAAGTTTTGTACTATTTTGCATTTGTGTGAACATGTAGTTTGTTAAAAGGAGAATTTAAACTACAATTAAGGCGGTGCATTTTGACAACGAAATTATTGATTTTAATGTTTTATTTTTTTTTTCAAAAGAATATTATTTCAATAACACAGTTTGAAGTTATTTTTGCGTTTAATTAAAAATTGAATTTGATCCGTTTTTAAATTCACTTTGATTTAATATTCGGTAAAGATTTTGGTATGGTACATTATTGTTTACGTGTATTTACCATACATTATACTACTAAATGCGACAAATTAATATGATGAAATTAATTTAAAAATTCATCACTTACATAATAGCAATTTAAAAGATCTCTTACAAATATTTTTTTTTCGCCTATTTTCTTAATTTTATCACATTTATTGTATATGGACTAATCTAAGTTTATCATTGCACCGCTTTAATGACGATTCAATTTATGATCATTACATCGATTAAATTTTTATAATTTATGGCATTTAGTGACATAATGTAGTTCTAATTTGATTTAAAATTATCAAACTAGCTAAAGTTAATACAATTAATTTTATATTTTTTAAATTTCTATTTTTAATATGAATCAATTAAATATTAAGAGAAAAATAAAAAGTAAATTCAATTCAAAATTTCACGGTATTACTCATATCAGGTATCAGTATATTTTTGAATACAAGTATTATAATATTGTCAAAAATTATTTGTGAATATAATTTTGAATCTTAGGATTACTTTATACTTAAAATATTCTGTTTTTTATTTTTTTTTATCACTTAAAATAATCAAATAGAAAAAAAAATATTTTTTTAAACAAATATAAAAATTTGATCACAGCGACCTAAAAATTATATAAAAAGCAATTATATCTAAAACTGAAAATTTTCTTTTTTGTTTTTTGTCTTTTTTTGTGTGTGTTTGTTTGGATTCTTAATTAATTACTTCATAATAACATCTATGCGTTTTACAGATAAAGAATTATGTTATTTTTTTTTTGAAAAAATTTTCAAACTTTAATGTTTTAACATCGTGTTAATTTAAAATGAAGTACAGATTTCAATTTATCCGCATTGTGTCCATATAGGCTTGCTTTGCAATCATTTTTTTTTTCTGTTACAAAAGACATTCTCCTAAAGCCTAATATTTTATACAACAATGTTATAATAATTAATGTATGTTAGATTAATTTAAATATTTTTTTTCACAATATTTTTAACTCCACATGAAGCTGATTTAATGCTAATAATTATTTATTAAAGAAAATCTAAAATTACAGTATGAATATTTTTATTAAAATATAAATTTGAAATTTGTTTACTATTAATCAAATATATTTTAACATGATGAATGATCATTTCGTTTTTTTTATAAGCTTCAAGTTTTTACATTTTTGTAAAAAAAGTTTCTGTAATAAGTTCGTTGAGTTATTTTTTATAATCACGAAATTATCAATAAGATATTGAATGAAAATAATTTTTTTAGTAATTGAGAATATTAAAAATTCTTCACTTTCTTTTTTTTTTGAACGAAAAATAATGGATTTGCTGAAAGTTATTTATACAAAATAAGAAATTCTAGTTATTCTTTATTCTAAATAAAATTAATTTCCCAATAAAAATGATGTAAGATTAAATTGCAAACATTGTGTAGCAGTTATACAAGTTATCGTTTAAATGCGGTTGTATACTAAGATGTTTTATAATTACAATAATACTTATAGATTGCACTTAATTTTAACTGATGAAATCTGAATTCTATTTCTAATTCTTTCTGTTTACGTTTAATAAAAATTGTTAAATTAACAGATATGAACTGATTATAAATTTTAAAAATTTAACATTGTACAATCCACAAAACTATTAAAGGAATTTTTGTTAACATTAACTAAAATCCAAATTGCAGAGTTCATAATATACTACATAAGCTCCTTCCTTGGTTTTTAATAAAACCTTCAATTTTGAACTCATAAAAAAAAGAAATTTTTTTTTTAGAAAACTTAAATATTTTTTTTTTAAATCTAAATTGTCTAATTAATAAAATTAATTAATATTTTTTAAAGAGTATAAATGAAAATAAATTAAAAACAAAATATGTTTTTTTCATTTTGTCGTAGTCAGTTGTATCCTAAGGATTCCTGATGAGCTTTATTACTTTTCAAATCTAAATTTAGATAAATTTTTCAAAATATTAAGATATTTTGCAAAATTTATCTATTTTTTAGACGCCTTGGATGAAATGTAATATAGCTTACCAGAAATCCTTATACGAACTTCAGGAGGCCTGTAATTGTCCATCTGCAGCAACCTGCGAATTAGTATTGTTTGGATTACCAGATGCAGATACTTCAGATTTGACACGTCTCGCAATATGAGAACGTGTATGTTTACGCAAATGATCTTTGCGATAGAAACCTGAAAAGTATTTAAAAACGTTGATGTTAAAAAAAATTTAAAGATATAAAGTAAAATTTTTTTTAAACAAATAATTTCATTTTATTTGTCCCGTGCTTTGAATAAAGCAGTAAAAAATGTACATATACTTGAAAATAGTTCAAATACTTGGTGAAAAACAATTGGTATACGCAAGGAGGATTGAGTTCTTTTTGTTAACCACTTATTCTCGTTTGAAAATGTGAGAATAAGAATATAATAATATTTGATTAATCCATTGAATATTAAGTACATTAAGTAAGTTAAGTAATTTTGAATTAAATTTTTATTTTGTAAATTTGTTACCTTTTCCACATTCCTGACAGACATGTTTTTTCTCTCCAGAATGTATTACAATATGAAGTGTCAGTTGCTCCTTTCTTTTGAAGGATTTCAAGCAAATCTGTAAATTTAAAATTTTTTCTTATATGCATTAAAAAAAACATTTTTTTTATTTACTCACATTGCATACGTGTGGTCTGTCTGGAATATGAGACAATTTATGTCTTGTTAAGTGGTCTTTACGTTTTAATGCAGCATTGCATACATCACATACAAATCTACGTTCTACGGCATGCGATATTACATGCTGTTCTATCAAACTTCTGTCAGGATAAGCCATCTGACATTCTGGACAACAAAATAAAGTTGATCCGTCCAAAGCCTTAGTTTCACGAATCTCTCCAGGTTTAGGTCTTGGTTTCTTTTCTTTCGGAATTTTCTTCTTTTTAGTTTTCTTTGTACCAGTTCCTCGACCACTTGGAGTAGTAGTTGTATTGGTATTAGTTGTAGTCGATTCTGGAACATTAGGTATATGTTGTCCATTATTTTGTACAGGTTCCAAACCATTCATGTCATTTAATGTTTCATTATTTGTGACAGCTGGATGATTGTTATGTTGATGTTGCTGTTGTTGTTCTTGCTGTGACTGTTGTTGGGGTTGAGATAATTGGTGCTGATGTTGTTGTTGTTGCTGTTGTTGTTGATGTTGGACATTACTTAAACCTATACCAGCCAAATTTGTGCCATTTTTAAAGATATCAGTTTTTATATTGAAACCTGAACTCGATTGGTCCAAATTGCCTAAATTTATATTTGGCGATTGAATTTGTGAACTAGCAATACCTGTTGATTCTTTTTTTATTGTTTCTGAATATTTAAGAAAATGTTGAATTGAAATTGGTAGCGTAGCAGACAGCAAATGAGATGAATAGTCAACAGTGTTTGCTGAATTAGCTAAGGTTTGCCAAGATTGATTTACATTTTGAAGAATTTGTTGATTAATAACTATAAATTTTAAGTAACAAAGTTAATAATGCTATAACTTAATGTTTAAAATTGAATTGATCTCGGCAATAATGAGTTTAAGGCAAATCAAGACACGAATAAAAAAAATTCAAAAAAATCAACTGAAATGGTAAAAAAAAAAGTAAGAGAATATTTAATTTAAAAACAAATAAAAATAAAAATAAATAAAAAAAATTAACGCAAAATGTTTTTAGTGTTAACTTAATCCCAGTTAATTCAAATACATGTGATTTTTTAAGCAAATTTCATATTTTTACTGCTTTAAAGTATGTTAATGATTATTTGGTATGATATCCTAAATATGCACTCTAAATTTTTAAAATATTTATCATCGGATAATCGGATGTTGAGAAACATACATGATTATAAATTTTATTGGTAAATAATTCTATTTAAGAATTTTCGAGAAATACAAATACTAAAATTTTTTCCATACATTTCGTACATTATATAATATAGAATTTACATAAACAAAAGAACCACGAATATGATTATTTATAATGAGAATTTCTTATTAAGTAATAATCATATGTTAATAAGGTTAATTTTTGCACGAAATTTATAGGCCAATCAAATGAATGCAACCGGCAGAATTATTATCAAAAATCATTTCCCAAAAATATATAGATATGCTTATATATACATATACAAACTTTTTGTATATCAATTATTTTTACAAAAATTATTCTTAATTGTTTTGTAATAGAATGTGTTGATTTAAATATACAACAGATGAGTTTTATATCAGGAAGCTTATTTATATTAAGGTGTATACATATCTTTTTTACTTTGTTCTAATGTCAATTTTGTATAAGACCATCAAAGCTCTTTCATTTTTCCGGTTTTACAATCTTATTTATTAAATATATAAAACCTAAAATATTTAAATAGATTCTCGTATATTTTAATTTGTTTAATAAAATTAAAATATTATTTTAAATCAAAAGATTGATCTTTAATTACAAAAGGTTCGTGTAAGTTTTTGCAGGAAAATGTTCTGAAATTTTTTAAAAAGCTTAAAAAAGTTTTTTTTTCCTTTTTAACATGGACAAAAATAGATACAAGGACATTCATTTATTAGAGGAATATATTATAAAAAAAATCGGCTGTTGTCAGTAAGTTGAACCACTGAACTTATATACTTATGTGTGTATTCATATATAGACACCATCATATCGTTTTAAAATGAAATATATTAAAAAAAAAATTCGTGCAAAAAAAGGATTTTTAAATTTTTGCTTAATTTTTATATAATTTTTTTATACACAAATAAATAACGTATAAAAACAAAATATTAAACAATAAGTCAAGAAAAAATTTCAAATAAAATGGAAACATATACAATAATATTTAAAATATATAAAAAACAATAAATATATTTAATGTAGAAGCAAAAAAAAGAAATGCTTATTAGGAAAGAATGTGAATTTTTTTTTACCTTCTTCCCGATCTCTTTCCAATTTTGGATGAATTTTCGGCTTATGCTCTATATTCGTATTGAGGAAATTCAAATCCGGCTGTGGTTGTGAATAAGGAATCGATAAATTTTGGCCGTACTGCATAGCGTTAACCACTTAAATTTTTTTTTTTAATTAAATTTTTTAAAAAATATTTAAATTTAAAATTTTTTAAAATATTAAATATTAAGTTTAACTGCAACAAAGATAAAAATCCTATATACCAATTTATACAATGAAATTTAAAGGGAAACTTTTCGTGGCAATTCCATATGATTAATAAAATCAACTAAAAGTAATATTACGTGTAGGTATAACAAAAATGTGTATAAAAAATATACATCAAACCACATTCTCTATAATAAATATAATAGGAAGATTTCTATTGTACATAGGTACTTGTATGGTATATAATAAAAGCAATATGATAAAAAAATAAAACTGATTAACAGCCAGTTTACCTAATTTTGGGCAAACAAAAATTTGTTAGATTGTTATAAAATCAAAATTCGTTTTCTTCACAATTATTTTAAAATTATTTTAAATTTCATCTAAAGTGAGGGATCAATTTCAGGGGAAATTTTCTTAATTAGTTCGTAAATAATGTAATCTCCGTTACTGAATTGTCAAATATTTAATTCTTAAAAAATTCCTTTATACAATTTTTAATACTTTTAGACAAAATTTAATTAATAAAAGTTCTTAAAACTTTCTTACAGAAGATTAATTGTACTATGATTTAATAATATATTTTGCATTTAACCAGTTTTCACAATCGATGGAATTTGAGAATAAATATTGATAAAAAATACAAAAGCTTAGTCAAGGATATGTAGCCGGGAATTGCAAAATAATTTTTTTTTTTTGTGAGAAATATAAACAAAAATGTAACGATATTATAAAATTGGAGAATCCTGTAAAAAATATTACCACTTGATTTTAAAATGAAAGATTTTTATTTCTTGTAACATTTTAACAACAAAATATATAAGTACATATGTAGATAAAATGTATAAATGAACATTTTATATTTGTGTTTTAAATGTTTAAAAAAATTGAATTGTTAAGGATGAAATTTTTATTACATATTGAAGGATATCCTATGTAATATGAGAGCTTTTTAATTTAATATATAAGAAAATTTTAACATATGAAAGAAAATAAAAGCTTAAATTAATCGAGGTACTATACATAACATTTTTATATGCATACATCATTGTTTAGAAAATATATGTAAAATGTATGTAAGTATGAATACATATAAGGAAATTTTTAAATTTGTGTGTATACATTTTATATACAATTTTTACATAATATGTAAGCATAATAAATATAATAAAATCGTATATATAGCTTCAAAAACACAAGTCCTTGAATACGATATTACCGTTTTTGTTTTTCAAAGACGTAGCATTCCATAATATAAACCCGAAATAAAATGTCGTAATACAATATTGTTTTAGTATATTACATTTAATTTTATAAAATATATTTTTATTTTTATTCTCAAGAATTCAAAATATCTGAAAAGCATATACTTCCTTTAATATTGTACAAATTAATGATTTTATTAAAAATAATTTTATAAATGAAAAAAAATTGTTTTTTTCTAACTTTTTCTTTGAAACAAAAACGGTAATACTATTTAAGATTTGGGGGGTATGAGAATTTTTGTCGGCAGTAAATTATTTTTGATATATTATGCACATGTTATCTAAAGTGAACAAATCAAATGGCCGCGGCAAAAAGAAAAAAAAACGAAAAAGAAATAACGAAATAGTGTTTTTTTTTTCCAAAACTCTCTTAGTTCAAAGGTGACAGTATACTACCTATTTGCCGCTGCATGAATATTTGAAACGAATTTTTAAGTTTCAATTAATTGCAAAATATGAATAGGGGAATAAATATAAATTTGATCTTATATTATAAGTAGCTGAAAACGTAGCTAAAAATTCTTGACACAACTAGAGCTATTTCTCTTATTACCTTAAATTAAAAACATAAATTCAAAGGAGATTAATAATTTTATAAATAAGTTATTTAAAGCATCAAATCAATCAAACGAATTTCCAATTTAAATCTTTTGAATTTAAATTTTTTAACTTTTTTAGAATAACCATATTGCGGAATCCTGTACCTACTTATTTAAATTTCCAATTTTTAAAAATCAAGTTTTATATTCTTATTTAGATGGAGCTTTGTATATAAGGACAAAAGACGACATGTTTTATACTTAAAATTCTTCACGCATACACCTTTGTATACGCAATTTTCATATATATATATATATATAAGTATAGTTATATTTATATATATATATATACTTATATATTAAGTTAAATACAATATATAAAACATTTATATTTATGTATATATATCCTGATATGTTATATATATATATATATATAAATATAATATATGAATAAACAAATAAAGTAGAATTTTTATTTATGCATATGTATGTATTTATATATATATATAATTATGTGAATATATACATTTTTACATGCATACGAAAAACTTATATATGTACATAAATAAAAAAAAAAAAGTACCAATAAGCATATAGGTACATAGTTTGTAAGGAAAGAGGATGAAATTTAAAGTGAACTGTGTAAAGAATTTTTTTGCTTTCGCATTAGTCCTCTAGCTTGTTCCGTGCCTGTTTTCTTATTTTGGTGTGAAGGCATAGGAAAGAACTGTGTATACATGAATATGATATGTTAGGGTTGATGATTATATGAGGAAAGAACTAAAAATCGATATAAACGCCATTAGAGGCAAAAACATTTTTTTTTGTATACGTTTCCATGTATACGTAAATTATTTTAGGTTGTAAGGTCGAGTGTATAAAACTTCCCCTAAAAAAGCCTTTCATATTTAAAAAAAAAAAAATTTTTTTTGCTAAAATTACAAAAATATATGATAAACTTTCTTACCGGAAGTCGAATTTTGATTAAAATGATTTCCATTTGTTTGATAGCGTTGTGTGTGATTATCCTGTATTCCGACAGTACCATTCAAACTGGGTGTTGAAAATGCACCGGGTGTTTGATTATCATGACCAAATTTTGCTGCAAACTGGTGTATACCGGAAAACGGCCCACCAAATGCTGAGAAATTCATTCTATGACTTTTATTTTCCTTCTTTTTTTTTAATTTTTTTTTTTTATACTTTCTTTCTGTTAAAAAATTTGTTTCAGTTTTAAGGAAATATACCGGCTCCTTAAATTTGTACTTGAGGTTATTGCTGATTAAACAAATTAATTATACCTAATTTGGTATAATATAAAGTCAATTATTTTTTTAAAAATCCATAATCTTAATTTCTAAAATAATTATTTTAAAATATTGCTCAAAAAAAAAAAATTATGAAATACAATGTAATTCAAATAAACTCGCAAGAGTTATGGTCTTATAGAATTTATTTTTCAACTTTATATTAATGTTATATTAATTCCATATTATTTAGAAAAAAAAATTTAAGTTTTGATAGTTACAATTAATAACATAGTTTAAAAAAATGGTTTAAATACCAATAATTAACAAGAGTACAAGAATTTTTTTTTGTAATTTTGTTGTTTGCACCAACTATTGAAATTATGAACATTACCCCCGGCAGGAAATTAATTTAAATGATTTTAATTGTATTCAAGGATATTAGAAAATATTTTCCAGCTAAAATAATTAGAACTTTGTGAGATGATATTAATATTCAGAAATGCTAATTTTTCGCTGTAATTATAACTTTATTATTATTAACAAATACAAATTTTCAAATGAAATAAATGGAAGTTCTTCAGTATTGAGAACTGATGATAATTATAAAAAAAAAATCATACAATTTTATTTAACCGGTTATCAACACAATAACTTAAAACACAGCAAAAAATAAATATACTTTCACCAACAGCCGACTAATAAGAACTGAACTGAATGAGAATTTGAGAATTAAAAAATGGTTGACGGCAGACGGCATTTTGAAAAATGGCAGCACTAATAAAATAACTGTTTGATTAAAATACAATATGCACGCGTTGCGTCTTATATTACTAGTTCACGTGGCGATATATATATTTCTAAATGTAGTCATACAATTCCTTATGTCAAAGTGTAATATTTTGTGTTAATGTTTTACTTTCATTTGCACACTTAATCTATTTTAAAAAAATTTGATTTTTGTTTTCACTTATAAGAAAAATAATATAAAAAATAAAAGAATCAAAGGCAGACAAATTATGATTCAGATTATTCAGATGTGAATGTTCTGATTGCTAAAAAAATTGGAAATTGTTTGTGAAATCTGATATAACATAAAATCAAGGCCTGGACCATGCTTTTTTTGTGAATTTATTTGTAAAATTCCATATGTTTTTTTTTGAGCAACATATCAAAAGTTCAAATTTCAACTCAAAATTTTAACCATAACTTTTTTTTATATATTTTCGAGTTCTTTCCGCATTTTTTTGTATTTCTGTTTTTTTGTACTTCGCATTTTTGTATTTCAGTTAGATGTGATATGAAAAAATTGTAAAGTAATTTCAATTATCATTTTCGTCTGTATTTGATTTGTGATTCTTAAGTGTGAATTTAGATTTTGAAGATAAACTAACTTCGTAAAAAAGATTTTTAATTTGTTTTTAAGATTTTCCACATATCTGGGATTTTGAAAATTCTATCACAATAGTATTATACTCGTAATAGTCTCATTTATTAATGCACTTACAACAATTATAGGTAACTTTTTTAAGGTCAATGTGTACATATGATATTTATACATATTTTCTTAATTTTGCTAAATGATCGAATGAAAATAAAACTATTAAAATTTGTGAACCTTCTTTTACACAGTTAAATTTTAATACAAAATCAGCTCCGAGGCCGTGGTTAAAAAAAAACACGCTCAGGAGACAAAGCTTATTATTTTTTTCTAGTTAAATAAGATAAAATTCAATGCGACCTTGTGAATCGACCTAGTAATTTTACTATTTAATGCTAGAGTTAAAGTTATGAGTTCTACTTTTTTGAATTCACAATATCATTTATATTAAGAGTCACGATGACATTTAACGTTTCACAATACAAATTCAAATGTCGGATATTTTTTAAAGAACGGCAGCTTATCTAAAAACGCGAAAAATCCTAATGGCAACATTTGGTTCAGTTATCAAAAAATGTTGCAGAGAATTTGCGGTAATTAAATCGAAAATGTTTATAAACTATGAAACAAAATAAAATTATAAATGTTTTGATTTTTAAATTAATGTTTATATGGTGTATTAATAAATGATTAGTGTAATAAATCAGTGTTTCTCTTGTGATTTTATATCATTACTGAATATTTTTGATGAAAATGATAAAATAAATGAATAAACTTCAAGTAAGTTTTGTTATTCACGCTTGTAGCTTAAAATTTTATGTAAAATATCGATTTTTTAGCCGGCTATGGTCTAAAAGCAATTTTTTCACATTCAGTCAATATTTTAAAGAAAAGGAGAGAGGGAGAAGAAAACTGGGAATTCATGATCCTTATTTAAAAAACAAAAGGATATATGCAGTTATGTAAGTTTTTCTTATATGTGGAATTTGTGATGAAATCCTAACGTAAAAAAGTTAAATAGTTATACAATTGCACTCTTTTTCTGTTTATTTAGGAAATTTACTTTTTCCAAAAAAGTATCTTTCGATAAAATGCATCATTTTGTTTTACGATACATAACCTAAATTATCTATTATTATCGTATTATTTTAAAATTTTGAAGTCAAAATGCTTGTTTTTGTGTTGGCATGAAACAATGTAATAAAAAATAAGTCATTATTTTCTTTCTAAGTATGTCAGTATTTTTTAACATAACATTTAAATCTTTAAAATTAAATACTATTAAAATAATGTAATTTCTTAAATTTCTTCATCGGGTAAGTCTCCTTGTAAAACACAAAAATAACAAAGTTTTGAAGTAAAGTACTTTTCGGTTCACTACGGTTTGAACTTCAAATAACCTTATTTTCTTATAATCACGCAAAACTGTAGAAAATGTTAAACACTTCCGGCCTAAGAAGAACAAGTATTGTATAAATAGGAAATAACAACTGCTAAACGTGATTTTAAAACCGACTGGACTAACCCAAGGCATTCATACTTTTTTCTTATAGAGATTTATATAAAAAATAAAATGTATGTACATATATGATAGTTAAATTTTTGAAATTTATTCAAGATTATTACAAGAACATTGCAAATTTAAGTATATAATTTATACTATTCTTATTTAAATGTTTCTGGATAGAATTCTTTGGTAAATAATACTAACTGATCGTTAAGTATAAGTATGTAAGTGCAATTTTGTAATTCTTTCGGCTAATAAATGTCTTTGTTTACTATTTTTCAAGTGATGAGGCAATATAAATAATTTATAAAGTTTTAATGGTGAAATTGAGTTTAAAATAAATTTAATAAAATGTGTTTTTTTTTTTTATAAAATTCAATTTTTATTTTAATTGTATCCTTAGCTCGCTTTCTATTAAACAAAAATAATGTCTTTTGCAAAATCAGCTACAATTTTCAAATGTTTTCCGATTTAAAATTTGAAGGCGGATCTAAATGTTCTTTTTAATATAATTTTAAATGTTAATTTGATGGCGGATCTAAAGTTTTCTTTAGGTACTCCCTAAATTTATTATTTTTCGGAAATATTATGCTCATGATACTTATAGAGTCTATATATTATTCTACTGATTAACAGTAAATTTAAAACTTCATAAAATAATCATTTACATGGAATTCATATTGAATATTTGATATAATTGATATTGTATATTAAAAGTTGTTTTCTAACTTGATTATAACCTAAATTTTAGAAAACATGTTTCAATTCTTTTGAATGTTTATAAAACATGTTCATTTCTCAAATCCGTTTGCTTTTAATAACATACGTACATCGGTCGTATTATGATGGTCCCATTTGTATTAAAAGACTACAACTGTTACGCGTGTTGCTTTTGCGTTGTTCATATAATTTTAAAATATTTTTGCCGAATATTAAGTAACTATATTTTAATAATATACATTTTTTTAATAATGCTAATTTTGTGTTCGAAAAATATAGAAAGGCACTGGTATATTTCTTATATTCTATCTGAACATTTGATCAATATAAAAATATTTTTATTTAATTAAATAAATAATTTTCAAAAAAAAATTAATAAAAGACTAAAAAAACTCTTTAAAACCGGGTTGATTAAAAAACTGGTTAATTAATACGTAAATGATTTTAAATTCATATGAAATTTTATATTTAGGCACTTTTAATTATCGTCATAATCAAAATTAATCTATTTACCAAAGTTTTGTTCTGATGTGACGAGATGGAAAATTTTGAGACGGTTAAAGCTAAACAAATATATGTACATACGTAATGTACGTAAATTTCGAAATAAGTTTCAATAATTTTTATTTGAAATATTGTTAATTTTCACGATCTTAAGAAATGTAAAATAATTTTCTTTTTTAATAATAATAACAAAATAAGTTTATAATTGTTTTAAATGCCAATGACGACATTTAATTTTATTTTTAGTTATAGAATACAAAAAATTGCGTCCCACATTACCAATGAGTATTAAGAGCGTTTTAATATATTGTGTACATTAATTACACCTACAGAATAACACTGTTACAAAATTAAGTATCAAAAAAATAGATAATCATAATCGCTACAAGAAATATATCCTTTTTTTAGTTTCGACCAAGAGCTGTGTTTCGTGATAATATTTTTTTGGATTTTATGAAAAATTTTATTAGTTTATTAGCTTACCTATTCAGTTTCATGTGGCCGAATTCAAAACGAACTTGTTATTGTAATTTGTTTACCCTGACATCCATTTTGGGAACGTAATTGTAAAGTTTTTACAATTAAAGCACATACCAGCAATACTTCTAAAACAGTTTTGTTGCTTGTACGTAATAACGCATTGCTTACATTTTGCATTTTGGATCATAATTTTGCACTTTTTTAGACGTCATAAATAATTATTGTCAAATAATTTGTTTTTGGCTGTTCTATTCTTTATAATTTTTTTAAATAATTTACATTTAACTATGTGAGTATCTATTGTGGTAGAAGAGCTTTTGTTTTGTTCCAGTAAATGAAGTAAATCCAAAATAATTTTAGATATTTTAATGTACAAGAAACAATATAAAACGAAATGCAAATTAAATGCAAACACAAAAAACTTGTTTGCGTATGAAAATTTTAGTTGCATCTACAAAAATTTTTAACTAAACTATTTTTTGGTTTTTAACTTGGATCATGTGACATTGATAATTTTAAGTTTTATTTGCAAAATGAATGTCATGAATACTGCCCATTTTGAATTATTATAGTTTTTATCATTTCTCTTCTTAATGAATTACCAACTGAAAGAATGATTCCATTTTTTTAAACAAGCATTCTCATGTCATAAATATACGAGAGTTTTTTAATTAATATCGTAAAATTGTTTGTTAATTTTATATTAGTACTATTATTTTGTAAAGTCTTAAAGTATAAAATTTTTTATTAAGCGTCTGCGTATCGATCATCGTAATCAACCGACTATTTTGATCATAATCATTTTTATGCTTATTTTAATCTAAATATGCAGGTGTTAATCTTTTAAAAAATGCCAAAAAAAACTTTTGTAAATTGTTAATATTTTTATATCGCGTTATTTGCAGTACATATTTGCTTTCGAAACACTTGCTGCATCTTAATAAATATTTTTAATCAAACATGTAGCTTTATTTAGTAAAATTAAATATGTAAATTATTAACATAAAATTATTTGTAATATGACTATCAATAAATTTATTTTTTTTTTGCTTTAAGTCGCTTACTACAAAATAAACATTGTGGAAGCGAGGTAAGTTTTTCTCTAAGGATATTAGTTGTTGATATTTTGTGTTTTTTTCTTTACGATCATATTCTAAAATCTATAGTATATTGTAAAAGTGTAAATTGGCTAATTGTTTGATTGTATATCAATTAAAGTTTTTCAAGTTTATTTAAGAATTAATGCTAGGTTGCTAGTTGTTGACTGTTGTTCCTAATAACTACCATAAATGTCATTCTTCCACATTTTGTGATATTCATTGGGGACTGGTTGAAAAATTTAAATTCTAAATCGCTCAAACTAAAGATATTGCCACCTGATTGATAATGTATTGCAATAACTTGCTATGTATGCGTCTCTATTCTTATATTTTTTGAAGATTTATATTTTTTATTGCATTTAAAGTAGCTTAAAGTAATAAAGTATTATTTAATTTAATATATGCATTTGTATTTATTTTTTAAGTCAATTTATATAATTTTTTTTCCACCAATATTTCAATACTTCATTATGAATTTAAAATTGTAAATAGTTTCTTAAATTTTGTTGATCTATCGCCACTTGTTCTGTGGACAAAATTTTTTTGTATTTCTTAAATTATATTTTATAATAGTTTTAAAAAGATTGAAATAAAGAATTAATATTATATTATTATTATTATGATCACCGCCAAAATGCTATTATTTAAGAAGAAAATTGATTTTTAATTATTTCTAAATATTATGTACATCTACCGGGGTTCAAACCCCGGTCAGGTCATTATAAAAATTGTATTTAATATTATAACTGGCCTGGTATTCTGGCCTGGGCCAGAAAACACGGCAGATGATCCTTAGGCTCCTATTTATGAATACCTGCATTTTATTTGTGTATTAATTTTTCACTAGCTATGTTTCGAAGCCATACAACAGGACCGACTTCACACATGTGTTGAATATTTTTAACATGTGTTATATATTACTTAACACATGTGTTGAATCTCAGCTTTGTATTCCTGAAAAAATGTGAGGACTTCTATATGGTCCGTAATCTGCCAAATGCCGAGGTAGTTGAATTGTTCAACATCTTGTATAGCGGTTGTATTTAGGACGGGGGGGTAGTGTTTGCTCCGTTGGTTCGGAGTGACGTGGTTTTTCTTGTATTTATTTTCAGACTGACCGCTGCTGCTTTTATATGCAGCTCATTCAATTGCTTGCATGTCTAAATGCGGGTGGGATAGCCGAGCGATGTCATTTGCATATTCCAAATCCTTCAGGCAGCTCGTTAAAGTTATTTAACGTTATTTCTTCTAGGGATAATTTAGTACACAATATTTTAAATATTATACAAATAATTTTCATATATATTCATAATATTCGATATTAAAACTAAGAAACATAAACAGTAAGATATTAATAAACTTAAATATTTAATATAATGAAAAAGCTACGACAGACTAGTCACCTATCTCTAATTAAAACTCTATGACGCAATAAAACTAGGGCATGATGGGGCGCTAGCCCTATGCTGCTCACTAGAAGTGAAAAAGGTAAAAAAAAATGTAGATACTTACATACATACTTATATAAAATTTACTAAATTTCAACAAAATTTCAATTACATTTTTCGATTAATATTTAAATTTATTAAATTTTAATTAACTGATTTATTTTTAAATTAAAATTTTACTATAATGTATTTATTAAGTTTCTTATGTTATTCCGTAAATATCTTAATTACTTGATATACAACAAAATTTTACAGACAATGATTTCAAAAATGTACCAAAATAATACTTAAATGCACTTAATCTTACGAGTTTAAATTGCTGAATTATTTAGTCTGCAATTTTATGTCAGAGAATTCGAAACAATCATAAGAGTATAGTACAGCGTTGTAAAAAAACTTTTGTATTTACATATACATACATGTAATGAATATACATATGTAAATATTTGATATTATGTACATGTCTGAAAAAGAATTCTATAGAAGCTCAAATAAATTTTTATTTTGAAATCAGCTTGTATAAAAACTGTTATTTTATTTTGGTTTTTTCATTTTTTCTTTCGTTTTCCTTTTTTTAATTAAATTGACTTTGTTTGTTTTGTTTTTAAATATATTGATCAGTCAAACATTTTACTTTAGTTTTATTGGACCCGTATAGATCACCGGTCGTTTAGTTTAACCGGTATAAATATTAAATTAATGTTGTAATAATTATAATTTTGTTTTTATTTTATTTTAAAATATATTTAAAAGAAGAAAAAAAGTTGTGCTATATACATATGTATGTAAATAGTTTGAATTTTTGATAATATTTAAATTTAAATTTTTAATTTCTATGTTTTTATGAAAAATTTATAGTGAAATTTATAGGTTTGTGTTTAAAATTAATAAATATGAATTAAATCAGAATATAATTTAAATTTAATGAACTATATTACACGTACAATCAATAAAATAAATTTGGTGACAAATTTTACAAATAGAAAAAAAATTAATATATAAAAAAAAATTCGTAAATTTTGATTAATGAAAAGTAGAAGAATTAATTGCATATAAGCTACTATTAAAGGATTTTATATAAAATAATTATTTAATGTAGCACAATATAAAAAATTTTTAATAAATGACTTGTTAATTTTGTCACTTTCCTAGCAATTACTATTATAATTAGAATACATATATAATTTAAAATACATATCGTGAATTATAATATTTAAATTACAATTCAAATGTAACTAAAGTACAATAACTTGCAGTGAATTTATGAACTTCTGTATATGAATTTGATCTGCAGAGCAATTCGACAATGAGCTAACTCTTATACTTTGCAAGTTTGAATAAAAGTAAAAATAAACTTTACAAATTTTGAAAAAAATACAATTCTAATAGATTGAACTATAATTAATTTAACTCTATATCATAGCAAACTTAATTCTATTATACTTACTATACCTAAAATTTAATTAATTTAATTTCCAAATTTATTAAATTAATATCATGTACATTAAATGTATATATGTACATAAATATATAAAAAATGAAATGGAATACGCATATAAAATATGTTGAAAAAAAATTTACTATACTCGTATTACTTTAATATTACCTATTATATCCACATATATAATTAATTAATATTGACATATTATTAATAATAATAATATTCTGTAAATTATAATAATAACAATAATAATTAAAATTCCATATTTTTATATAAATATATATGTAGAACTAATCTTTTTTAAACTTGACATTTAAAGACCTTGAAGTATTGAATTGGTGTATTAAATTGTTTTTCATTAATTGTTTTTATATACACATAATATAAAGCGAAATTATATATATATACATATTTTTAATAAAATCACTAACATAACAAAAATTTGTAATTTGTAATTTGTTATTAAAATTTGGTGATATTTTTGTTTTGTATAACTATAGTAAATCTTATAATAAATTTAACAAGAATTCCTCAACGGATTAATATTGTGTCTTTTATAATTAATTGTAAAAGCTAATTTTCAATCATACATATATAGAAGGGTCGGTCATCACGAAAATTTAAAATTTGAAAAGGTACATATATATACAAAATATTTAAATTTATTTATTAAGTCTTACATTACACCTATCATCTACTTAGGTTTTTGTTTTGTTTTCTTCTTTTTTTTTACATTCTTCGAAAAAAATTTGAAAAAAAAATGCTTTTCAGTCTGCCCGTCTTTCTGTGTGTCTGTTTACAAAATTTCCACGCCGTTTAAGATATAAAACTGAAATTTTATATGTAAACAGATCTTTAATAAAAACTTATTTCTGTGCAAGAAAATTTTTTCTCCTCTCTAAAAGTTATGGCCCCTCAAAATCTTAAAAATGTCATTTTTTTGACTATTTATTGTAACGGACCATATAGAAACCTTCTGGAAACGTATAAAAGTAGTGACTGCCTTCTTCTGCCGTGGCATAGTATAGTTGAGCATAAAAATGGTAAAATTTTTTTAGAAGAAAGGTTTTTTCCATTTTCATCCCCTCTCAAGTTATTCTCGAAAGTAAAATTTGAATTTTCAACCCCTTATATTTCCGAAACTGCAAACTTTTCCAGTATTAACACATTGTTGACCGGGAACGTCATATGACGTCTTTCGATAACGAAGCCTATCATACTCTTAAAAAACATTAAAACATGTAATTTAATACAATGTGTGCAAAGTTCCTTATAAATATATTACGTAAAAAAAGTGTTGAGAATTTTCAATTTTTCCCAAAAATCGCCGGACAACTGCGTTAGTTCTTATAAAAAACACCCGGTCAACAATGTGTTAATATAGAAAGCTAAAGATAAATCCCAAGCCATCAAAAAATAAAATTATTCACCTTAACTCACCATTGAATTAGACCATTACGTCAACACCTTTCTTAATTTTTTCATCCTAAATGTATGTAATTATTTGAAATATTTTGGTATATTAGTGAAAGTAACATTTTAAATGATATTATTGTTTTTAACAGCAGCATTTTAACTTGTTGAAGGGAAAAGTGCTACTTTACCAGCCATTGGTTACACCCAACTTTGTTTAATTAATTATAAAAATATTTATATTTTTTTTTATTGTGTGCATTATAAGAAACAAGCTTAATATACTTATATTGTTATTTTTATTAAATTTATTATATAACACAAGGGAAAAGATCAATAGTTCCTATGGATGATTAAAATTTATCTCAAGTTTTTTTTTATAACTATTTTATTGAAATCTAAGCATAATTAATAATATTTAAGTAGTCCAAAGAAATATTCAACGATCCCTCATGTATGTACTTACGAGTAGCTATAGAAGCTGTTTGAAAAATGAATAAATTAGAGTGAAATACTATTATAAGAAAAAATACTTATAAATCAAAATCTATCTATCTATACAGTCAATATTTAAAAATATATATATATATATATATATATATATATATACACATTTTTTATGAAACCAATTTATAAAACTTAATTAATTGATATTGTAACACTTTGTAATTAAAAATTATTATTATGT